CCTCAGGCTAAGGGGCTGAACACGCCTTGTTTACATGGATGAAGGCTAGAAAGGGGTGTGTGAGTATGTGTAGAAACTAGTTCACTGTACAAAAGTAATATTTACATTCATTGCTCCACCCACTTTTGCCTCAAGCCCTGCCCATCACTGGCATGTGGCCCCTATAAGATTGCCCAGAAAAGAAAGTGTCTCTCAGGCTGCAAAAAGCTTCCTGTGCTAGCTCTATACTGCTCAACAGGATCCTGTGCTGGGCTGTGGACTACTGCTCTGTCCCAGTTTAGTAATTCTTATTTTACTTTGAGTAGCATTAGTGTTATCTGAGGGTTGACTTTCCCAGCATCTGACTCTGCCACAAGAAAGGCTGTCAGGGATTTCTTTCTAAGCCTTCTTCAGGCAGAGAAACATCTGCTTCTGACTTAATTCTTTTCCCTTTTCAGCTCCAAGACGCCTTCACAGCTCATAACTGGATGCACTGAAGACTCTGGGTTTGGCATGGAAAAAGTCAAATAAAACATGTCATGTACACTTTAGGCAGGCAAGAGAAGACAAGATCAGTAGGACAGCTTGCCACACACAGCCTCTGTGGGCTTGTTGATCTTGCCTCGTGCTCTGTCTCTCTGGGAATGAAGCTATGAAGCTGCCAGGCTGGCTCTGATGTGGTGCACTGGATTACGAAGAAAACCTGCTGGTGGCGGTGGCAGGACGCAAGGAAATGCTGAGATCATCAGACTTATATTTTTAGAGAACAGTGAAAAGTCATTACTAACAGCTCTGCCAGAAGAATTCAGTCTTCTGTCCTTTTCTGCAGCTGCAAAAATTATTGGGGGCTGGGGAATGACAGAGCACTTCAATTTCTGAGCTGAGTTACTCCTCCTATGACCATGTTCCACTCCACTATCAGAAACAGGGTTTCCCTCCATGCAAGCAAAGATTCTCAGGTTGCTGAATTCATACTACTATTACTATTACAGTAGTTACACTACACCAATAGCTAGAATATCTTTTGTTGGCAGTCCCATTCATGACTCCGAAGATCACACCTCTTTCTTATTCCTAGATAAGAACAAGAACAGGATTGTGTTGGAGCAGTGTTGTAACATACCTATCACCAAGGCAGTCCAGCATTGCAGTCTATGAGCTAAAATTACCCCTGTCTGTCTAGTTATTGATGCCTTTTCAATTTATGTAACGTCTGAGCAGGGCCAGAGTAAGGAGTCAAACAAGAAGTTAGGTAACATGCAATATAGTTAGACAATTCAGAGACACAAGAGAAAGGAAATTCTGCCCCTGGCATTGTTCCAAAACTACCACTTTGCTGAACACTGGATGGCATTTAAAATGCAAACATATATGAACCACAGGGCCTTTTCACTCTGCATAGGAATGGGAGAAGAGAATTAGATATATTCTGCTGCAAATACTCTCTTGTGTTACCCAAACTCTAGTTTGTTAAACTTTTAACTGCAACCTTTAGACCAAAATACCTTCTGCAAAGAAAGAACCGTGCCAAGTTTTAGAAAAGGCAGGAACTGAGCTCTCACTCTTCATAGTGCTCTTTTCATTTCTGTCATAACACTGAGTAAATAAGCACAAAGAGGCTAGGATACATATCTGATGTAAAAATGCAATGCAACATGACATTCATAACCGTAAGTCTTGCCCTCATGGAATAGCTGTCATTCAGAAAATGGGCATGCATCTGCACAAAATCATGGGGAAATGCCTTGGTAAATGCCTTTCCCTCTTTTTCAACCTATGAGTTAACTTTCCCTGGCATAACCTGTACCTAATAACGTATTTGAACACAACAATTCTTATTTTGGGGGGATGTTATGTGGAATATCATTCAGACAGAAGGCTGTAAGATTACTGCTGACTGCGAAAATTAGCCCATGTACTACTGTTCTGTGAGAAACAGGCCAAAGAAACATAACACCAAGTGGCTTTGTCATAAGGACTATGTCACTTCAAAGATTCAGATAAATTAGGTGTATTGAATCCTTGACCTGAATCTCCCCTCAGATTAATCTCCTGTCCATACCTAACTCCTGAGGGAACATGTTTTCCTGTATACTTGCCCTTCATCTTGTTTCCCTCCTTTTGACAGCTACTCTCTTGCTCGACCAAATAGAAGATGAAATAGGTTGGAGAAAGGTGGAGGTTGCAATTGAGATGGAGGTTGGAAAGGCAGGGAGTGTGTCTGATACCTAAGGACCTGTGTAACCTCATGACAGTGGTGAGAATGATGGTTCTCTGGTGTTTTTAACCCCTCCTCTGTGGAAAGAGGTCAGAATTTTGGAAAGCACAGATCCCATCTGGTAGACTCTGGAATTCTATCCTCATCCATCTATCAAAGTGAACCCCTTTAAGACTCAGCAGCCAGTTCACCACAAAGTCCCAGTTGTGCTATACAGGGCTGGTGGCATGAAGAAAAATGCTATTCTCTACCAGGGGCCATGAGCAGCCAATTCATTTCCCTTTCCTGTCTCCAGTAACATGAGGTTAACTCTATCGTATGATTTCACGGGTGGCTGTGCAAGGTCTTAAACTGGATATAAGACAATGATTGCCTCCAGTGCTTTTCTTTGACATACTTTCTGCACCTTTCTTCCCTTCCTTTCATTAGCATAGATGAGGCCTAACTGTATGCAGCTATCCAATGAACTTTGTAGGGTTTGTACCCTAGATACTGCCTTCCTAGCAAGTAAAATGAGACTGATTATAAGCAGAGGAATGGAATGTTCAGACTTTAGAAAAAGCCATCACTACCAAGAGTGATGTCAAAATGAGAAGCTAGCATGGGTCTCCAGGCTCTGATGCTCTCTGTGTCAGTCAAAGTGTTCCCATGCAGGAATAAAATAGAAGATATTGCTACAAAAGGTAGGTACCATTATGCAGAATTTGTGCAACTTTATTTGGTGTGCTATGCTCCACCTACAGTGACCTTACTATTTCCTTTTTCTGCCATTTGGATTAAAATAGATATGCACGGGTTGGAACAGTTGCCCAGTGGCTTGAAGACATATTGAAAATGATGCCTCTCAGTCCCGGCAATTACTCTATATGGACACGACTTAATTGGTGGATCTGATTTCCTGTCTATTCACAATAGCTAGCTTGGAGGAGGGGTGAGAGAATCTCTACCAACATACCAGGTAGGCTAAAAATGGTGTGCCTGGGAATAAAAACCTGACATCTGGAAAATGTAGAGTAACATGGCTAATGTCCCTGTAGGTCAGGGTCAGGCTGCTGAAGCTGAGTAATGCATTTAAACTGTCAAGTTGTCAAAACCTCTGCTGCATATTCTTACTTATTACTGTCACCTAGGGTCACCCCATGTGGAGTTGCTCCTTGACAACACTGAGACCTCCAGGCACTCCTGGTGCAGGTCAGGTGAAAAGCTTAGGCAAGGATCCCTGGCTCAGTTTCTGAGACATGAAAGGCAACATGAAAAAGTAATTAATAAAAAAATGAGAAAGTCACATGGGGTCTTGGTGTGTCTTACTACAATGAGAATTCCCTGCTCTTTACTGCCTGAAACTCTGTCCTCAGATTTTTCAGAACAAAGACTCTTTACAGAAGTCTCTCTGAACGTACAACAAATTTCTAAGACTCACTGGTCTAGCACAAGTTTTGTGCTAGTGCAGCATCACTAAACTTGCCATTACATAGGAACTGAGGTGCTACAGAAGATAAATCAGCAGATAACTTTAGTAGAAGATAGAATAGTCAGATACAACTGACATGTTTTTTGCCCTCTGTTACTTGCCTTCCTGGTGCCCCTAAGCAGGAAACTGGCCCATAGCATCAACTGTAGCCAGGAGGCTAACATTTCAGTTTTGCTACCATAACTATGACTGAATGATGCTCCTCCTCCATGGCTTCCTCTTAGCCAGTTGTGTTATCCTTTGTTACTCTTGTAGCTACTGCCACTTTGCTCCAGACTTGCCCACTTTAAAATCTTACACTTATGGCAGAGGTTCCGCCCTCCTTGCTTGTGCTTGGTCGATACAAAAGCAAATAGAGTCATCCACATAACATGTTAGTTTTCTCAGCAGTCATTGGGAAAGAGGAACAATGGCAGGAAGCTGGGATATCAAACATTCTAATGGAGACACCAGATTTTCCAGGGCAAAACCAGAATGGTACAGCAAAGGTTTTTGCAAGAGGTCTTTAAGCACATGGTGTTGTATAATACAATGACCGACTCTGAGGTTGTGGCGCTCATCTCGCTTTATTGGCCGAGGGAGCCGGCGTACAGCTTCTGGGTCATGTGGCCAGCATGACTAAGCCACTTCTGGCGAAACAGAGCAGCGCACGGAAACGCCGTTTACCTTCCCACCGGAGCGGTACCTATTTATCTATTTGCACTTTGATGTGCTTTCAAACTGCTAGGTTGGCAGGAGCAGGGACCGAGCAACGGGAGCTCACCCCGTCATGGGGTTTCGAACCACCGACCTTCTGATCGGCAAGTCCTAGGCTCTGTGGTTTAACCCACAGCACCACCCGCGTCCCTGTATGGTATTGTATAAACACCAACTTGCCTGCAAGCGCACCAATTGGAGAACAGCCTTTACCAAAGGTGTCATGGCTTTGAAGACACTCAAACTTAGGACACAAGGGAGAAATGTGCTAAGAGAAAGACACGCTTGGCAAATCCACACCGTGATCAACTCCCACCTGGAAACTAATGTCCCCACTGTGGAAGGACGTGTGGATCCAGAATTGGCCTCCATAGTCACTCACAGACTCATTGTTAAAACCGTGTTTATGGAAGACAAATCTTACTTGGCTACGAGTGATCGCCAAAGAAGAAGACTGTTCAAAGGTTACATGTGGTGGGTGAACTTGGTGATTTCAGGAACATTAGGGAGCATTCACTTTTCCAGCCCCCATGCCCTTCACATTAGCACACCTGGGCTATTGCATTCTTGAACCACAGCCTTTCCAAAAAAAGGTAACAAAATCTATCAAACCACCTTTTCTCTCTTCACTTTTACCTGCGCAGGAGAAGCTTGGGATGATTCTTGTTCTCCAGGTTCTTCTCAATCAGATCAGAGAGCAACTGCTTCAGGACATCAGTGGCATATTCTAGCTTTCCCTGAAGTCCTGTCATGATGAGGGAAGCCACATTGCCACGGTCACGCATGGAGAAACTTCGCTGCATCTCCAGGGTACGGATAAATGTCAGCAGAAAGACCTTGTTATTGATCAGGTGGGCAAATAGCTTCAAGGCCTTTTCAACATTCTGTTGTCCATTCCCTTGCACCTGTAAAATGGGAAGTGTGTCTTCAGGAATCAGTTTAAAGAGCAATGCCTCCTATTTCCAGCCTGGCTTCAACTTTCCAAAAGCTCAGAGTGTAGCCCTACAAAGTACATCAATCAATCAATCATAGAAACTTATTGTTCTAGCCAAAGGCCATGACAAACCTGCAGCAACAGTACCAATGCAGACCATACATGAATAATATGAGCCACCATCCATGAAAGGTTACCAGAGACACCAACAAACTCAAATCCAGCTTGATTTTAAATTAAACTTCTGAATCAGCACAACAATTTACACTGATTTTACCTAACTTCTTTTTCCTGCTTTTTCTTTTTTTGGGGAGGGGGTAGCCAATGCATACAGGGCTACTCTCTGTGCTACAAATATATGATTGTCACTCAGAAGAAACTGAACTATTTCTGCCGGGTTGTACCTGCTTGCTTGTGTGAGCAAAGGTTTCAGAAAGTGATCTCTTGTCTCTCTATATATGGGGCGAGCTAGCAGATAAAGTGTGATGTCTCTCACCTAAGGCTGACCACAAAGTTGTTCCGCGTATGGGACCTTATTGCTAAGAAGTGCATTATATTGTCTGTGCACTGAGGTTAAAAGCCCACTAAGTGGCACGTGAATTTTGCATCAGTTGCACAAAAGTGACACTCCCACTGGCAAATTAATTACTAATTTAGGCAACTGCTTTATTGTGAAATGGCAGTAAAACAACAAAAAACATCCAGGCTTTCCTACTAGTCCTGTTTGTAAGTAATTCATTATGAGTCAAAATGATAAAGCACTGAGCATAATTCTTCTCCAAAGTTTTCAGTGACTTATGTGTTCAAGTTGCTCACGTTATGTAACTAAGCAGCTGTGTAATTGGCAGCACATTCATCACTACTATAGCTTTTTTGGGAAATGGTAAATAAAAGAAGTAGCTAGCATCAATATTTGCTTGCTATTTGGTGATATAAATAGAGAAAGCAAGGCACGACTGATTACTTAAACACCCATTTCCACAGGTGCAATACCAGTGGCTCGGCTAATTGCCCCAAAGTCTTGAGACAGGAAAGTTGGGGGGTAAAACTCGTCTTTATCTGACTGCAAGTTATTTCAATTTATAATATAAATTAAACATCTTGAAAAAAATCAAATCATATAGGTTGAAAGAGGTCCTGCCATTCACGCCATATAACCCTCCCATATGTAGACCAATGTTTTAGAGCAATAAATAATTAAAAAGTGCATGAATGGGTTAAGCTTTAGTTAGGCTTAATTTGCAATCAATCAAATTTAGCTTTGTTCATGACCTTTTCATACTAGTCTATAACTGCTCTCTTACTAGGGACAAAGAGATTTGCATACAAGCTGTTTAGGCTTACGTAGTAGTAAAATAAGAAGCGTTGTGCAAGCCTGTCAGATGACCCATGAGACTTGTACTACAGCACATTTTTGCCATTGGGCTTGGTCAATTTTCTTTTTATTGTAAAAACACACTTGAAAAATAAAACCTAGTGTATATTTCTTTCACTTAACTTAGGTCTGATCCTCCAAACCCAGGTCTTCAAAATACTACCACTTGAGATACGAACAGTAGCTACCAGGCTTGTTTTAATTAGAGCCCCAGAGAAGGACTTCGTATATTGATCAATAAGTTAAACAGCTATCGGCAGGGTACTGCAGAAGTATAGTAGGACAGCAAAGCTGTTAATCTACCCTATATGCAGTCATTGAATTTTCTCTGCCATCATGTGTAACCTTTTTGCAAACTGGGAGTAGGAAGAGGCAGGCTGCAGAGCTCCTTACATTCTACAGCAGAATCTTGACTGACAAGGCAAAGGGGACAAGGAAATGTTTGTACAGGATCCAGCAGCAGGAAAAATGAAATGCAAACAGCTTCACCGGACTATTGAGGCATGGGCATTTCCATGTTATTACTCTCACAAAGGCAGCATATGCGACTAATGCACAGAAATGCAACTGATGGCAATGCTCCTTCTTTTATTTTTCCATGGTCAAATGCCAGCAGCAGCATTTTCATACTGAATAATGGGTTCCATCTGCTCCTGCACTTGCTTTATCTATATAAAAAGTAACTCAAAATTGGGATGGCTGACAACACAATTTTTCAGCGGACAAAGCCGAAGGGATGTGCCCAAGGTCCAAGAGTTCTGCCAAGCGAAGGAAGAGATGTAGAAAATTTGAGAAGTTGTTGGGTTTTGTTCTTTGCAAAACAGGAGAGTTGTTTTCCTTGGGGCACAAGCAGAGTGTAATTTTCCCCAGACACCCCCAACTCTCTGGTTTTCTTTCAACAAACAGAGAATTCAAGAAACCTTTAAACAGCTGCTGGTCATGGGGCTTTAGCAACTGGGGGTGTGGGGAATAGTAGGACTGAAGCCACACAGAAGAAATCAAGAGGAAGCAAACTGCGTGTAAACTACACAAAACACAAGCCTTTTGTTACAGCGAACTTGAGTGTTCAATGTGCTTAGCCCAGCACTTCTAATAAGATTCAGCGTGGGAGGCAGAAAGGTGCTTTCACAGCTGTGTAGGTTTCAATCTAGCTTCCTAGTGGGAACCTGGGAAGCAACAACGCTTGCTACCTGATGAAACAGAGAGGCAGGGAGAATGTGCTGCTATTTCATTACCTCTAGTTCACGCAGGACAGGGTGGTCCTCTATGCCAGGGAAGAGGACCCGCATGGCATATGTGCGATAGTCAAGGTAAGGGATCCCTGAGCGGTCCAGGTCGCTGGTTAACTCGTTGATGTCTGTCTGCAGCTCTGCAAAAGCTATTAGAGAAAGGGAGGGAGAAAGACAAGACAATCAGAAGTGAGCACTGGAAATGCAGGCTGCAGTACAAGCAATCAAGGACTGCAAATGAGCCAGCTCAGGGAAGCTCGTTTACTCTAGACCTCTCTGTGTCACTCAGACATGCCCTCAAGCTGGGAGCCACTTCCCCAGCATGAGAGAGAGGAAGAGAAGCACAATGCAAAGAACAGATGCTGAGAACAAAACAGACTTGCTAATTTGTATGCTGTTCACACCTTGTATGTAAGCACTGAAAATGCCTTGAAAGGCACTAGATAAAAATAAAGATCCTATTTTTAAATCACTGTACTGTGCAGCTTCTCTTTCACAGTCACTCACTCACTCTATCCACACCTCAGCCTAAATGTTTTTTTGGTTTTTTTGCTGTGGCTAGCACATGGATTCCTTCCCCATGCTCTGCAGCTTAAATGGCATTAGCCAGTGCCCAGGAAGAAAACAATGCTTTCAAGTGGGGGTAGAGAACTGCAGGTGTAAAGGACTGCAACAGGCTTCATGCAATGGGCTTTTGATGTGCATAGGGAAAGAGCACGAAAACTCTAAATGCTGGTGGCAGTGCAACATGTTTCATGGCAGTGTGCATGTACAATATATCCAGTCCTTCCTCCCCTTTTCAAGGAGGAAGGACTGCAGAAACATTCTGCGCATATGGCAGCATCACCTGTCATGCCTCCAACACATTAAGTGTTGGCATAGCGGCACTGTGCAAACGCGGATGCTCTCCTAAGACACACACACACTGGAGAGGCTTGTTCTGGTGAATGTAAACTGGCCCTAAGATGCAAACATAATTGCATACTTATTTGTAAAAAATACCAGTGCTGATTAGGGGGTGTTTCTTTGTCCTCATTAAAATCTGCTATGGTAAAAGACAGCAGACTTCCCTGCTGAACAAGTTAATGTTATTTACATTTCTTCACAAATGAGAACTTTGCTGGTGCGTTGGGTGTCATGTGTCCTCCTCTATAAGGGATAGTTCTGTATTTGAAGGTGTAAAAGATTAAGATATATAAGGAGAATGAGCAGGGACCTTGAAGTTCCTCACCAGGGAGTCCCTGTGTCACAGTTTTTACTATGGGGAGATATATCTTATTTCTATATAAATTATAGTAATTTTCCCCCTAAATCTGCATCTAAATATATAAATTAGCACTCTTGTTCTTTTTTTTTAGCAATGGAAAATTGATCACCCTACTAGTGTTTCCCTGTCATGTGACAAAGGGATAGCATAACTTTCAGAACTGCAGGGTTCTTTTGCTGGGGGCGGGGGAGAGAATCCTACCTTGTGAAAATTGCATATTAACCTTTGGTGAATAATTTCTTGAGCATTCAGTTCCAATTTGCAGCGAGACAAGAATATACAATAGGAAAACACTACAATATACCCTGTAGGTGGAATTTTGTTAGGAGGGGGTTTAAGGGAACAAGCAATTGTTGCAGAATAACCACGCCAGGTAGTCTAACATATTAATATTTTTAGCTGTATTAAAGAATTAGTAAGATAAAATATTTTTGAAAATAATAATAGATAAGGGCCTGATGCTTGTCATTGTTTGTGCTCACTTGCCACAACACTGGAAGGCAGGAGTAACACTGTTTCCCAGTGATCAATTGGATAAAATACTGCCTGCATTCTGTTCATTATATCACCAAAAAGTGAAGACTAACTCCACCACCACCGCCCTGCCCCATAAAAGTTCCACATTCAGGATGGGACCTAACTAAAACCCTGAGAGGTCTAGATACCCAGAACTTGCCCACCCACAGTTGGCTATTGTCTTCCACTACACTTTGGTCAGTGCAGAATGGCTCAAAACAGCTTGCTCTTGCTTGATGAGATAAGCTTACATTCAAATTAGTTTCTATAACCCTGCTTGGGAGACCACACTGGGGTTGTCTTGCTTGTGGAAACCTGAATGAGAAGCTAGATGACATGGCAAAATATGAAGATGTGGGGTGATTGCAATAATGAGTTTTTAAATCTCCAAGATCTCAGAAATGTTTTAGAGGACCTTTAGGTCCTATGCAATCCTAAACCATTTCCCTCAGAAGCATGCCCCATTGAGTTCAATGGGACTTATTCCCAGGTAAGTGGGTATAGGATTTCAACCCTATTGACTTATATGAGAAAATTTACTGGTGCTTCCTTTTATGGGACTGACATTTATATGGCAACTCTGTAAAAATCGTTCTATTGCTCACCCATGACTACTGCTGAGAAGAGTTAGTTTTTGATCTGCAACAGCACTGTCTGAAAATAAATGTCTTGATTCTTAATTAGACTTCAGTCTAACAAGAGTGTTCTGCTTCTTTGTCCTTTTAGCTTTGAAATGTGTTTCATTTGAAAAAGAAAACATCCCAAACCAACAAATTGCACATCTCAAACAGTCACCTTTGAGTGCTACATTCCCAGAGTTATATGTACCCTGCTGAGTAACCACAATAAGTCTCTTCATGCATACATGAATCTGCTGCTCACCTGAAAGAGTCATAATGAACACTTGTAATGGCTCAAACTTTTTTTTAAAAAAAGTCTCTACAGTGAATGTTTGAAAAAAGTTTGGTTCCCCCCCCCAAAGCACCTTCCACCAATGTCTCACCTGCTTTGCCCAAGACAGGGTGGCAGAAGAACAGGGAAGTGATGGCACTCACTAGCTTGCCTTTGAACTGTTCACAACCATGGCTCAGAAATGAATGAACTCCTGGGCTCTCAAAAGCTCACTTCAAAGGATAAATGGGCTTTTAGTACCCCCAATAGCGTTCAAATCCTTTTCTGGCTCAGACCAATAACCAGATCATAGAAGGCCCCCTGCCCTGTCCGCAAAGCAACCTCCCCAACTTTCCAAATGTAATTTCAGTGTCCCTTAAAAGGACTACAAATCCCAAGATGGCACCACTATGGGAGCGATGTAATAGAATCAAAGAATCATAAAATTTTAGAGTTGGAAGGGACCCTGGGATCATCTAGTCTAATCTCATGCAATGCAGGGATATGCAGCTGTCCCATACAGGGATTGAACCTGCAACTTTGGCGTTATCAGCACCACACTCTAACTGAGCTATCCTGGCTGTATTGGTTTGAGAAGAGGACCCATCTCTCTTGCCATTCAGTACGTTACAACATGGAATGTGTTCATCTCTATTTCCCAATGAAAAATATTTAAACAGTATTTAAAAAGCAGTCAAGAGTGAGGAAGTTGTCTTCTTCGTCTTCTTTTAAAAAATCCCTTTCAATGTTTGCTTTGGGGTGAAGCAGGAATACTAGATAGGAAATGATTTGTGTGTGTGTGTGTGTGTGCAAAATACAGGCAAGAAACTCCACATCTACTTCCAGACTTTGGCCTTTTCCCCTCCACTGGGTGGCCTGCGCTCCTATTCAGTGTTCTGAAGTGTAAAAATGTGTGAATTCACTCGCTAACTCTGTCAGTCACCGAGGGCTGTAAATTATTTTTCTGCCTGGTTCTAACTCACTCCATGTAACACTTGGATCATTGCAAGGTTTCTGGCTTTCCTAACATCCACATAAAATGTCTACAGGAAAGGGTCAGCAGACAGCAAGGCCTAATGACCTGGCACCAACAAACTCTGTACATGTTGCTTAAATAGGATCAAGGGCTAATCCTGTTCTCCACACATTAGTCACATTAGGCAATGGATGTCTCTGCATCCAATACACTCGTTACTGTCTTCCCTCACATACAGACTTCACGGGAGAGCTCTGAGCCTCTCCATCTGCAAAAGAGGGCATTTTATGAGTGGGTGTGTTTAAGAGAGATTGACCAAATGTTTATTTGACAGCTGTACGTGAGCTTAGGCTCTGTTAAATTCACACCAGATCAAAGGCAACAGGGTAAGCAGGAGGCAGTTACCACGGAAACAAGACTTGGTACTGTTCAGTACTGGAGATGTATTCAGTCAACAGGGAAAAGTTATGTTAAGCAAAACAGATGTGCTAAGGAATATGTGTGTATATATGAAAATGACAAAGTTTTGTGTGAAATGGCTCATCCTAGTGTCTGCAGGGTTCTTCCATCCTGATCTGATGAATGTTCTTGGAAATAAGCCCCACAATGTTCAGTGGACTTTGATCCAAGCTAAGTGTGCGGAGAATGCAGACCTAATGTGTGATTATGGCAGTCTATCATCTTCTATAACAATGTTGTTACAGCCATGATTATGATCCTCAGACACTTACTTTGGAGTAAAGTCTGTATATAGTGCAAGGGTAGGAAAAAGTTAATGATTCTTTTGTATGAGTCTGTCTAATCCTAACACATAGTGGATTGATAAGATTATGAGTACATTGCTTTGTGTTTCCTTGTGGTCTTGTCTCTCTTTCTGTGTTCATCAGTTGAGCAGTCCTTGTTCCAGGAAAGCTCAATTTAAACAAAGTTATGTTGTGGGCTAGTGGAATTTTTAGCACTGTGGAATTATGGGGACAGGTCTTTTCTCTGCCCTGGCCATTTCAGACACTGGTGCTTTGCTGCATTTGTGTCCCTTCAATTGAAGCTTGAATGTCATGTGTATTGGCAAAATGATACCCTTTCCCCAAAGATTTATACAGTTTACACAAGAGAAAGGTTAAATTAGCCTTGGGAGTCAGTAACACCAAGGCAGGAAGTATGCTATGGCAATAACTCTTACCAAGAGGACAAAAGATAATATAAAATTAATGTCCATGGCTTTTTGTCAATGACATATGTAGCTGATAATGGGAAACAAGTTAAGGTCTGACACTTGCAGCGACTCTCCACTCCTACCTACCGTGCACACACAGGTAGGAATGGAGAGTTGCTGCAAGTGTCAGACCTTAACTTATTTCCCATTATCAGCTACATATGTCATTGACAAAAAGCTGCTAATATTGTGTCCAGTAAGCCATACTGTGCATGGTTTCATCCGATTCTGTGGGATCAGTTCCAGTGATTGAGACCTGAGGATATGGATAAGATGCTTCTGGTTGTCCATCCCACTGCTTGCCCTTTTGACCCTTGCCCATCCTGGCTTGTTCATACAAATTTGTGGGGTGCTGACTGGCAGTTCAGCTGCAGGCACTTATGGAGGAAGCAAATTATCTGGACCCATTCTAGTCTGGGTTCAGGTCAGGGTTTGGCACAGAATCATCCTGGTGGTTGTAACAGATGACCTGCTTCAAGGGACAGGTAGGGGAGTGCAACCCTACTGCTACTATTGGATCTCAGTAGCTTTTGATACCGTCAACCCATGATATCTTCATGGACCATCTCTGGGGGTAGGGAGCCAGAGGCACCATTTACAGTGGTTCTGCTCCTATCTGCATGGCCACTACCAGAGACTAGCATTGATGGACTACATATTGTGCACTGCTTTCCCCCAATGCTATTTAACATCTATATAAAGTCATTGGGAGGATATATGGGGCACTAAGAAACTCAACTCTACTTTTCTATTAAATATGAGTCAGGAGAAACCATGCATAAGCTAAACTAGCACCTGGATGTACTGGTGGAATGGATAAGGAAAAGTAGACTGAAGATGGAACATGCTAAGAAGGAGCATTGTGGGTAAGTTGTTCCCAGGTCTGAGGACTGGGGAGTCTGGCTGTTCTAGATGGGACTGCACTCCCTCTGAAAGAACAGATACACAGTTTAGGGGTTCTCTTCGAACCATATTTGTCCATGGACTCCCAGGTGTCCTCTGTGGCAAAGAATGCCCATCCACAGCCACAGCTGGTGCATCAACTGAGCCATTTTTGGATTTCAGTTATTTGGCTCCATGACATGTGTTAATAAAGCAAGTTTTAAGATTCTGTACATACAAAGCCAGAAATCATTCTGAACCAGGTTACCTGGGAAATTGTTTTCCCCTTCATTGCTCAGTAAGGACAATTAAGATTAGCAAATGGAACCCAGTTACGGTAGTTTTGCCATAGGCTGGTGATTATCAGCTTGCGGTAACATGTCTCAGCTCTTGGTTCCTATGTTCTACCTGGTTTTCTGTCCAGCCAAGACAGGCTCAAGCTGCTGCTGGCCAGGCAAGTTGACACCATCAGTCTGAGACCATGAAACAGATGCCTTAGTCATTTGTTAATGGACACCACATATTAGCAATAACCTGAGGAGAAGAGATCTACTGGAGATCAAGAATATACAGCTTCCCACAGTCTTCTGAAACTGATCTCCATGATGCACTTCCCTTCATTCACAAATTATGCCACTGTCAGTGCAACAAGGGAAACTCATTTTCACTGATAAGGAACTTCTCTGGATCCCTCTGATGCCTCTGTCAAATTGTGCTAGGCAGTGCTGTGAATATACTTTTTGTGAAAGACACATGCACAAGCCCTTGCTTAAGTAGACCTTTTCTCATGTGTCATTAGACATTACCAGATCAATGGAGGAGAATACCTGGGGTAGTACTACTGACCTTCTTTGCATTCAAGGGCCACCCGAGACTCTAGGTTGTCCATCTGCATCTGTAGCCTCTTGAGGGTTAGGTCGTTTTCACGAGATTTGCGCTTGTAGGCAATGAGGACAATAATTACGATGATGAGAAGAAGGCTGCCTCCTGCTGCAATGCTGACAATAGCTGGCAAGGTCAGGAGGCTGTCCGAGATCACATTCACTGAGCCAGGGGAGAAGATGATGCCACCTACATGCACCTAGTCAAGCAAAAGACATTGGACATAGTCATCAAACTTTATCGCAGTGCTCTCAAGTAGAGTGGTCTAGGGAGAAGATACCTACTTAGGAAGGAGGTCATGCCAACTGTTGTGCAAAGCATCAAACAGCGTCAACAACCTGTTTCTGAGGAAGACCTCAGGGCTGACCTTGCCTGTCCCACCACCTCCACTCCTGGCAGAGAAGCAGTGCCTGCATTGGTGCCGATTTCAGGAGAGAGCTCGCCAAAATCACATAGGAACTTGTAGATCATGCAACATCTTACTTGAAATCAGTGGTGATGCCAGCACAACTTCTCTGCTGGTGGTTCAGGCAGCAGCAGCAGTGGCAGGACGGCACCTCCCATTTCACCTTGAGCATCAAAACAGGGTGGGCCACCCCCAGAAAGACCCTGAGAATTTCTATTACAGGCTCTAAATGTGTCTCTCAGCTTATCTGCATAGGAGCTGATCTACGGAAAGAAACTTCTATTTTTGCTCCAGTAGTCATCTTCGCAGGATTTTTCTTTAGAAATGTGTGTCATCAAGGACTAGTACCTGACAGTGGTCCCCTGCCCATGTCAGACCTGCTCTGGGAATAATTCCCAAAGAGCCAACTATGCCTTCAGAGGGCACACAGTCTAAAGTTTGGTCTGCCAAATCACAGACACTGCTTGCATGGTCTTGTCTATCTACAGAGAGAAAGGGCACAGCCTACTTGAAACACAGAAAAGACTTCAAGTTGCGATAAATGCGTCATCCCGGCACTATCTCTGGGCTTTGTTCTGATTATCTGATGGCTCCATTTGACTTTTATTTCACAAGCTTTCAGCTTCCTTTTGTAAACCATGGGCATTAGAGACAGAATGACAATTTCATTGACCAAGAAGTTTAAAGAGGAAGTAGGAAAGAATAGAGGAAAAACAAAAGAGATGGAATGGCGGGGGCCTGGGGTAAACCATGGGATTGCGGCAAATAAACAGATAGACAGTTAAGGATGGACTATGTTTTGCAGAACATGCTATGGCCTCTGATAAGTGCAGATACTAATGGGAAAGGGCTATGTTACAGTGCTATTTCAACAGGGAGCTGTTATGACTTGGCACCCGAGAGTATAAGACACAAAGCAGATAAGGTTTTACTAGATCCCAGCAAAATAAACTTGGAAGATCGTTAGGCAGGTTTGATTAAAGGACCAACTTCTTTTGGGGAACTGAAATGTAAGGATACCAGCTTCACTGGTTTGTCCTCCAAATACAGTAAATAAGAGTCCCAAGAGATACTGCCTTATTCAATAAACACACCTTTCCCCTGCATTTCAGTTCAATCCTTTTCAGTGGGTAAACCTGAGAAAATGATCTGGAACCAAAGCATCATGCAAGCACTGCCAAAACTCTTCAGAGGTTGCCTGTTTGATCATTAACTGTATTATATTATACACCAGTGGCAGTATTTTGAATGGGGCATTATCATACAACTGTAATTTCCCTTGTGCTCCCTGGCTCATTCATTTTAGGTGAAAAGATTAGCTTAAAAATGAGGTAACACACTAGCACTTTGCTACCATATCTATTAAAGTTGAGACTAGCAGGAAGAAAAACATCTACTTGTTTCAAGAAACCAGTTATAAAACAAGTGTGTAAAAATTCTCATAGAATTATGCCTCTCTTCTTCATCTGAATGGAGCAAAATTACAAACAACAATTAGTCTGTGTCCACACTATTGTCCTTGTACCATTTTTAAAATGGTTATTTGTCTGCCATCATTGTGCCTTATTTGTTATGGGATGTATCTGGCGCAGTCGTGCCCTTAGAGCATAAAGCTGAATAAATGGTTTTCATCAATAAACCTGACAGACAAGCTAATCCTGTCTTCAGCTATAGTTTATGCTAGCATGAGCTGAGATGAGGGGTTTGCTTCGCACTGTGTTGGGAGCCCAACACACCCACTTACATGTTTTGCTGTCTGCAAAACCTCTTGCTGCAATAAAGCTAGCTAGGCTCAAAAGTGTGATGGCACTTTTTATTTTTCAACAGCTATGGGGTTTCAGACTTATCAGGTAGAAGGTCAGAGCTAAATCTGATTTATCCATTGCTGCTATATATTACCATGCAAAATTCACACTGATCCAGTGTGTGCTTGTGTAATGTGTGTGTGGCTAAAAGGAAGAACCCTACTGGATCAATCAACAGATCCATCTAGTCCAGCATCCTATTCCCACAATGGCCAACCAGATGGCTATAATGGCAGGACCAGAGTGCAACAGTACTCTTCCCACTGGTCATTCCCAGTATGCAGAGTCACACTGTCCCCGGCAGTGCAATAGAACACAGCCATCATGGTGAATAGTCATTGATATCCGTTTCCTCCACAGTCTATTCCCTGCAGCAATAACTTCTACAAGGTATTATATATTTACATGTATAAGTTAAAATGTTTTATTGCAGTGTGTTATCAAATTCATTCATTTATTTAGAAAAATATCCATGTCATCCTTCAATAAAATTCATAGTAGTATTCAAAGACATGCATCTGTATTTTCTGTATCTCTGAAAAATCTGGGACATTCACATCAAAGGATTGCGCCCTACCTCAGCTCCATGTCAAAAGCCAGAACAGTAGATGGAGAAGAAAGGGATACTACTTCCAAATCATCACTAAGAGGGGGAAATCAAAATCAGAAGATGGGTAGACAAAAGTATTCTTCTTGGACCTCACCATAACTTTGTGTTGCCCGGTGAGATTTGGCGGTTCACACAGCAGCTGGGTCTCAGAGACGGTGACAGCACAAGGAGTCTCTCCAATCAGAACAGTGTAATTCAGCTTTGCTCCACCAGTGGCAGGGGGACACAGATTTTTACCCTGTGGGAAATAAGTGAGAGAAGGTTCTAAGAAGATCCTAGTAAATGCCTTGGCTTCTTCTTGATCAGCTTTTCAGCACAAAATCAACAATTACGACATATTGTGTGCTGTGTACTTTTAAAGATATGCTGTAACAAATTCCGTGTATAATTATTTTCCAATAGCTATTAGTGATAATGGTATATGTTTCGATAATCAACTGCACAGTTTAATGAGAGCTAACTCCTAGTATGGAAAGGTACATGATGAAAGTGTGTGTCTGCTGCATTTAAGCTTGAACCTTCCTCCACCTCCCAAAATTCAGGGTGGCATCCAACAGCATCCTTGTGCAAACTAAATAGTTCTTCTGCTTGCCGAAGTCTTTGATCTAGTGGAGGCCAACATCAAAGTGTTGTTGGGTGGTGCAGGGGGAATCATCAAATATTGTCTGCTTTCATCTTCCGTTAGTGGAGACCTCTGTTGGACATTACAATTTTAGATGCACAATTAAAAAATCCAATGTGTGCACCTAAAAATGTAAAGTGTTAAGTGGTCCTAATGCAATAAATACATAGGGAGATTTGTCAAATGGGGGCAGGATTTGAAATGTGGTGTTCCAATGAGTTTGGGTTTGTGCTCTTATCAGGGCTGTGTTCATCATCTTACCTTCAATATTATGGGTGAGCCTGGCTTCTGATCCAGCACCCCAGTGGCACTCAGAAGTTCAAAGGTAGGGTTTGGGTAGTAGATAAACTTGGTGTCATTGTAAATCAGCAAGGACTGAACATTGTTAAAGATGAATCCAAACTCATCAGGTCGCTCAACAGCATCCAAACCGGGTCGGTACTCCAGAGTGAGGGAGGGAGCCAGGCAAGTTAGGGTGGTTGAATTCACAACTTTGCATACCTGGAAGCAGATAACCAAGGATTTTATGCTTTGAATAAAATCTTTTTGTCTTTGAGAAGTGCCCAAATATTTCATGTATCTCTATTGATGTCACTGGAGTTGGACACAAACTGGAGTTGGACACAAACAAAATATCAGAACTTGTTCCAATCCATGTGCTACTTGCACCAACTTGTGCAACTTGAGTCTACAGACAAGACTCAATTTGGTGTGTGTGTCTGACTCTGTACATGAAAGAGGAGCATTTTCTCTTCTGCATTTGCTCGCCAGGAGATTTTAAAAAATGTCCTTGCAAGTCACAGATAACTAATAGAGATATAACACTGGGAGATTTGGCATAGCTGTAGTGTGCTGGAAATAATGGGATATGCTACTTAAGTACAGAAATAAATACAGGGACACATGAAGATGTTTTCTCACTGTATTTGCAGACTACAAGAAACAGCTCACAAGCTCTCTGCCATGTTTCAACATCACACTAATCTGACTATAGATTTCACTTTTACAAGCATGTGTAACCACAGGCATTGAGTAGAAAAGTGGTTTCCACAACACATATCTGGTTCACATCTCTCTCTTCCCTATTTTACTATGCAGAAAGATTTAATGATATAGCACTAAATCAATTTAGTTCTCATTGCACAAAGTTATAAACCCCTGCCCCAACAGTTTCAAAATTAAAATTTGTGTAATTCACTGACTGCAGTGAAGGTTTGTAAAAGTGTGGGACTCTTTTCTATTTCACATGCTGATTAATCCTCAAGAAAGAGAAACAAATAAAAGGAAAACAAAAATAAACCAAAATTCTTTAAATTATTGGTATTTATGGGAAAACTCCAGATTCCAAAACTCATTGCCCCCCTCCCTAATTCTTACATAAAGAAAAATTCAGAGAAGCCTGGGGCAATACCAAGGAACTTTGATAAGTGTACTGAACATACAATAAAAGCTGCACCAAACTAACAATTTGTTAATCAAAAACTGGGCATCTATTCAGGTTCAGGTTCATTTTAACAGATGGTTACAGAAGAATACCAGAAAGAAATGTGAAGAACTTTTGAGTCGTTGAATCATACCTGTTTGGAATATTATTTATTCATCACCTGCTCACAATATAATATCATAGCAGTGTACAGAAAACTAAAGATAAGTATAAAACTTGCAGCAAAATTAATAGAGTTAAAATAACAAATAACACTAGAAGATGAGCTGTGGAAAATCATTAAGAATTTCATTCAGTATAGGCTCGGGTAAATAAAAAAGTACTGAGTATGCATGTAAAAGAAAAGAGTAGAATCAAAAAGAGGAAAGGTGGAAGCCAAAACCTGGCTGTCGCCAGGCATTCTTAAAGCAGGAGCCCTGCCACATGTACCAACTGGGCAGAAGGAGGCTAGGCAGCCTGGAGCTGGTGCAGCAATCCAGCCCTTATCAGGCCCACTGCCATTGGGCCAGCTTGCAGTCCAGTGGACCCTGGGGCAGGTCAGCCCAGCCTCTGACTGCATCATTTCTGGTCTTTTCTCTAAATCTTGCTAGCTGGACCACGTTTGTGTCAACGGAGTGTGGGTGGAGGCCACCAGAGGTGGACTGATGGGCACATTTGCCCAATACCCCCTTCTAACCTGGTGAAAAGGAGGTTTGGGTTGTACCCTCAATTGTTGGAGCAGCCTTATCACAATAGTAATGAATTGCACATTAAAGGGGCCACAACACCGAAAGACCTGCTACTGGTGGATGCAAGGCAAATGATATTTCTCCGTAGGTTCTCTAACATGGAATGCAGCAAATGTATCATGAGCTCAGATCTGCATGTTATATTCTCCCTTTGTCCTCAGCCAATCACTAGGCCAGCAGACAGCACTTGATACTGAAAATAGTAGCAGAACGTAAGTTCTGAACCAGACCTCTACCCCCTGCTCCATATACACACACTACTTCCATGCTGTGCTATTGTCTGCCACATATGCCTTTCAGTTAAACTTGTAATTAATGTCTGGTTCTGGTGACAAATCTAAGCAATTTCCTCAGGCCAGCTGTAAAGAACAATCAGTGTGTCACAAGGGATTTGAGGTAAAACGAAGGTTATGTCCCACTGGTAAAAAGTTGGCAGTCCAGTTCCCTTCTTCCTCGGAAGAAGAGTTCATTAGGAAGCAGAGCATGGCTACTACTCCTGGAGTCTATAAGCTACTGAAAGGTGCTTATACCTTTCTAAGCATGATTCAAGGTAGGCTTACATCTTTTTTTTAAAAAAAAACAACTAATGGTGCTTTAAAGCACACGTGCCTCAGACCTGTAGACACATCTAATCCAGTAGTCTTCTTTCTTTCTTTCTTTCTTTCTTTCTTTCTTTCTTTCTTTCTTTCTTTCTTTCTCTTTCTTTCTTTCTTTCTTGATCACTCGTAGCCGAGTAAGATTGTCTTACATAAACATGGTTTTAATCCAGACAGGGAAAAAGGGAGGCAGACTATGTTTAGGGCACCTTTTCTAGCCCCTCCCTCCTCCTTTTTGGGGTGAGCAGAGTGGATCCTAAAAAGGGCTGCTCAGTCATGGATACAGCTGCCGAGCTGCTCAACTGCCTCATTCCTTGAGTCAGAACAACTGAATCTATCCACAGCTCATGTGCCAGTTCTTGACTAGGGGCTTCCAGATTTGTCGATCCTGCCCCTGTTACCATTTGCCAATCGCCATGGGACTTTTGGGGTTTGGGATGGGTTTTTGGAAGACGCCTGTGTGTGAATTTGCTTTATGTGTGTAGATCAGTGCATGCTGACCAATGCACAGTCTTCGCAGTAGGGCTCTGTTCCGATGGCATGAGTAGTCATGACGAGCCAGTAGATTCCTATCTGTTGCAGCATTCATCCACCTTCACAGCTGTTGTAACATACCGTTTGTTATCATCCTCCTGTTCTGCCATTGAGGACTTCTTGGGTCATTCTCTGTCTAGCTCCTTGGGTGACCCTGCTGGGAGTACGAGATTCCCGACGGCTTCGCTCACAAGGGTCATAGGAACGTGCAAATCCACTCACCACGACAAGGTGATGATCCAGCGAGTGAGAATCCAATAGTAATGGCAGAGCCAGGTCTACAAATGAGAGCTTTGCCACGAGGAATCCATAACAGCCACATTTTTGTCTGGGATGCAAACTTTTTCTATGCTGGCTTCCACTGAAGCCGTCATGTCAATCTGCCTGAAGAGCTCCAGAGCAGTGAGAAAGCATGTGGCAGTAATACTTGGAACCCACCTGCATGTATTGTATGCAGCTGGAATGCTGAAAAGACAAGAGCATTCCAAGTCACCCCCTAGCACCTGAACCTTTAATTGTATCTAAAAATAGTGTTAAGAGTTGCAGGGCAGGGGTAGGTTGTATGCCTGAGCCCCGTTCCAATTCCAGAATCCAGAACAGATTCAATTCCTTGAATAGCCAGGCTAGCTTCCTGGTGAGGTAATGACCCTCTAGGTATAGGTCATTAAGGTAACAAAGGAAGTGGCTCTGTGCCAGACAGAAAATGGACGGGCCTCCCTCAACTCACTGGTAGTTAGAAAGACAAAGGCCAGAGTTGAGGGTGTGTGTGTGTGTGTGTGTGTGTGTGTGTGTAAGGTAGAAACTACCACAAAGGTTGAAGATTAGGCAGTTTGGAGACAGAACCATGTCTGATTTCTGCTGGAATCCAAGGCTGTGGCCGTAGGAGAAACAAAAACCCCTTGGGGTGTCAGTGCTTTAAGCTCCTCCATTGTAGGCTTGGGTTGTATATGTGTGTAAACAAACCATATTTCATAAAGACACCACAGTATCATTTTGCTGAAATTATACAACAATGGGGAAAGGCAGGGGGAGAAGGAAAGGTAGTTGGACCAAGGAACATGCCCATTCCACTTTCTTGTTCAGCTTCAGAAGTATCCCTACTGAGCACTTTTTCTGACCCTTGATAACATCCCTAATGAGAACAAATGAGAAGGAAGAAGAAAGCTCTGCCAGCAAACATCAGACCATTTCAGAGTATTGCTCTATACCTACCATTTAGAATCGTACGAATCTCAGCAGCAACACTGCGCTCACTTAAGTGCACTTAAATTTCATTTATATTAATGGATTTGAGAGCAAATAACTGTAAGCACAACTGCAGTCATCAGTTTTACCATTTCAAGTCTTGACATTTGTGGAGAACTGCCTCAGCAGTGCGTTTTAAAAGGTAAGTAATCAAAAGCTACATTTTCACAGATTTATGTGGTTTTCCTTCCTGAAAAATGGCAGGCATCATAAAAGCACACAGCTCATCAGCACAGTATCCCAGCAATACGTATCTACATGCCCTTCATCAATGTGACATCTTGCTTAGACTTCCTCATGACCTCAATAGTCAATATCCAATCCTGTATGAGGATCTTTTTATCGGCTGTGAACTCTGAGTACTGCCGGTAACATGCACACAGACAAAGTCATGTTGCCATGTAGTAAAATTCAGCTGTTTTATTGAAGAACAGCTCCTGAAAGTCACTTAAAGGCATCAGTAAATTTGCTTTCTTTATGGTGTTCTAAACTCCTTGCAAAACAACAATATTCAAAAACATAAAACATCCTGCAGCATCACAATTCATTGAGGTATAAGGTGTGTGCATTTGACATATCATTAATGAATTTCTGGTGCTGTCCAATGCTGGAACAGGTGTACACAGTCTTTGCAACTCTACAACTGGAATCAAATATTAGTCTTGAGGTGGGAACATCTGAGGGTCACAAACAAGTATTTAATTGTGAAAATTGAATGGCTGTGCATCTAAACCAAAGTGTGTTCACTGTTCCAAGTTTCACACCAACTTGTACCAGTCCTCAATAAAAAATCTGAACAGTCATAAATCACAAGGATTGAAAGGGAACAAAATCTTAAAGCCAGATTAAAAATAATTAACATGGCTGAGGCCAGACTGAGGCCAGACTATCGCAGTCCAGGTAGGGTTGCAGGGAGCAATGGTTTAGGTTTATCAGTACTCAAGGCAACACTAATAGTTCTACTCTAGTACTCAGAGAAATAAAAAAAAACACAAAGAGAAAGATGAATCTAGATGAAAACATAATGACCCTCTCTTGCGATCTTTTGTTGTCATTTTGCATTTTTATGTTGTGATCTTCAGATGAAGGGGGGTATACAAATTTTATAAATAAATAAATATGGTAAAAATGCATTAGTGACATGGTCTATAGACACTGGCACAGAACAGAAGCAGGGCAGGGAAAAGCTCATTATCAACTGAAGAAAAGGAAGAATATATATTTAAAAGTTCCCTGATATGGAAACATGTCACCTGAACATAAATACACAGGAACGTTCCTTATATTAACTCCGGCCATTGATCCATCAGCTTCAGAATTGTCTATGCCAGGGCAGGGGGAGAGAGGGGGTAGCCTGTGGCTCTTCAGATGTTGTTGTGACTCCAACTCCCTTCAGCCCCAGCCAGAACGGCCAAGAGTCAGGGCTGATGGGCACTGTAATCCAACATCCAAAGGGCACCATGTTGGCTACCGTAAGTTCACACTGTTATTGGCTCTTCTGGCTCGAGTTTTTCCCAGCCCCTCCTGGAGATGTCAGGGATTGAAACGGAGCTGTGTGTATGCCAAGCATGTCTGCTACTGAGTGAGCTCTGCCCCTTTCTTCTGTGAATTCTGATTACCCTGGCAGCTGTTGCAATATCTGAATTACAGAGTCAAGGGAGATCACAATTTACATTCTATACCCAAAGATAAAATGGATTACAACCCTATTTATTGGCTTTAACTATTCATGGTGGTTTATAAAGTGAGGGACAAATGGTTTGAAAGGCCATATAGAGCTAATAAAAAGAGATAGAAGGAAAGGAAAGGAAAGAATGTCATATTTACTTAAGGTTTCAAGTTCCTAAAGTTCCATAGTCAGTAAGGTACAGGAGGCAAATTGCACCTCTCCTCCACTACAAACATGTATATCTGGGTATTCTGCACAAGCACAGAATCTCAATGTGGCAACGAAGACTAACCAAGAGTACCATCTGGGAAGCATGAAGGCCATTTGGGTTGGAATGCTGTACTCGCAACAGCATTGTGCATAAACCAATTTCTTGCACTCCTTCCTTCTCAGAGGGTCTTCTTCCTTCAGTTGTGTTGTGTAAGTACCATGCACAGCTGCATATGTAATTTCTTAATTTTCTCATAAGATGCAGAGAAACATCTGGACCAGCAGCTGCAGAAACCTTTCCTGTATTTTGTCTTGGCTCATAGGTGCACATTTTTTGGCAATGGAACAGCAACACAAACCATGTTTAAAAATTAAACCTGCTTTGAACAAAAGCACCTCAAGAGTACCTTGTTAAGGGGGGGGGGACTGAGCTAGGGTGGCAACTTCTTTGGATGCTATGAAAGGGAAGGAGCTCACAAGAACTTGCAGTGGTACAATTATTATCATGTTAGAGGTATGACTGAAAGCGGACCTCTAGGTGTGGACCCTTAGTTACTGAACTCACGTAGGGCATCCTAAGAGCAAGGAGAAACTATGGGGAAATGCAAACATGAACTACATTTGCAAGGCCCATGGGCTATCTTTCACACTGACCTGGGGCAGGGCAAATGTGTGTGCTTAAAAAGGCTCTTCATCTCTTGTTTTTATGAGGCTCTGATAGTTCCACAATGGCCCCCAGGGTAGCCTCTTTTCATAAAGCAGGTGCTCAGGAGGGGTGGACTCAGCGGAGACACCACTTCCATTGTGTCTCTTTCAAACCCTCTCTGCATGTTTACTTAGCGCACCTCTCCCTTCTGCTGAGGGTTTTGTGTGTGTCTTGGATGATATATAGTGGGGCCTCACCAATGACACCAGCCCATATGTCTCTATTGTCCTCTGCTTAATGCAGTTTCTCCAAATGACAGGGCTTTGTGGGGCAAAGTAGGAATGAGCCCCCTGTGATAATGACTCCCTGCCCTAAAAAAGTAGGTTCACCTGATGTCCCCTAAGATGTGACTGCACAAGGGGGCCACTCATGCAGTTTAACTCCACAATGGTGATGTAGGGTACACTCTTCAGATATTATAAAAAGGTACTATGTAGAGTGAGCTATTCTGCACAAACACAATTCTTTTCTGGATGCACTGCACTGCCCACACAGACCTCACAATTCCAGATGAAGAAGAATCCAACATTTAGCTTAGGCACTGCATGGCCAAGTGAGTGGATCTTATCCTGGAAAAAGTCATTGTGCACAGGCATGTGCCTTCCAGGTAGCTGTCTATGCAAAACTTCTAGTGCCTCTGTGAAACTAGTGAAAAAGTAAGGTAAAGGTAAAGGTAAAGGTACCCCTTCCCGTACGGGCCAGTCGTGTCCGACTCTAGGGTTGTGCGCCCATCTCACTCAAGAGGCCGGGGGCCAGCGCTGTTCGGAGACACTTCCGGGTCACATGGCCAGCGTGACGAAGCTGCTCTGGCGAGCCAGCACCAGTGCAGCACACGGAAATGCCGTTTACCTTCCTGCTATAAAGCGGTACCTATTTATCTACTTGCACTTAAGTGTGCTTTCGAACTGCTAGGTGGGCAGGAGCTGGGACCGAAAGATGAGAGCTCACCCCGCCGCGGTCTGTCAAGACTGGCCTGCACGGGCAGGGGTACCTTTACCTTAAAGATTTAAAGTAGTGTTAGTTTCAAGGTAAATGTAAAATGAGACAGTAATTGGAAGGTTTCCCTTGTACTTTTGGAGCTCAAGGGAAATAATTGTTTTGTTGATTGTATGTTTGAAAAAGATTTGCTTATGTGTGTTTGGAAAAAGATCTGCAGAAGCTATGGGTTGTATCCAATCGAGTCATGTTCAGATCAGACCTGCTGAAATCAACGGACAAGTTAGTAATGGCTTCCCTGATTATTACTAAGTATTTATATTACATTTTACCTTATAGTCAAATGACTTACATTAAAATAAGGTATGTTCCAAAGGGAGTTTAAGATGGTGCATCATCTAGATTTCACTTCACAATACTTTTCTTCTCATGTAGAGAAGTGATGTTCATAAGAGTGAAATATGCTTGAAATTCTCCCATTGAATGTAGACAACTGAGGCTGAAATCCTGTGCACAGTTGCTTGGGAATAATTGCCACTGAACTCTACAGGATCAGTTTGCTAGTTTTCCTGTTCAAAGGACTTCTATGCACATGACCGCTTGTGATTCATGTCTCTATGTCTTGGACTGTAAGTGTAAATTTGAAACTTTTTGCAAGCAAGCAAGCTAGTAAAAAAACCTCTGTAGAAATACAATTTATGATGACATGGCCGTGTCCACAAAGAACCATGCAATGAGTGGATTAAGGCAAGATGAAACCATTGGCAAGAGCAACTACTTACATTGACAGACTCTTTGCCATTGTACTTCACTCGGATCCTGGGCTCTTGTATGACATCCAGGTTGGACCCTGTGACAGTCAGAGGTGTGTGGCCGCTGTGGGGAAGCAGATGACATTGGGTTAATAAGGTTTGGCAAGGGGGACTGGGGCAGAGCCCTTTGCCCATGTTTCTGGCAAATACAAATGCTTGTTGAACTCAGCAATATGTTTTCTCCAGGCTGTATAGGAACTAGGTGACAAACCGGATTAATATACCATCACCCTGACTCTGGCTAGAGCTGTCTTGCAAGTTAATTGGATTTTCTAGTATCATCTGTCCCCCTAGTGGGCAGTCACCTCTCCCCGTAACATTTCTTAGGGTTGGCAGGAGGAAAAATATAAAGATCCAGGACTAAATAAATAACAACAAGGAATTTGTTAGAGTGCTTAATGGTTTATACAGTGATGCATGCTCCAAAGAAAGAGAAGTGTCATATTATATAGCTCTTGCAGAGAACAAGTTGCTGTTTTGCTAGCCTTCCTTCCTCTGTAATTCCCAGCAAAATTATTACACACAGGGCAAGAATTTACATGGAAGAAATGGTTGTCAAATAAGTGAAAAGAGGACTATGATGGCCAAAGCAAGTGACAGCAAAGCTGCTCATCAAGGAACTTGAGACCATTTCCTCAGCTGAAACACTCAGCACAGCTTAGCACAGCTCAGCTCATTTGAAAATCAACCAGTAAATTTCTTTTTAACCTCCACAGTAGCAGAGATGTCAGGGAGGAGCGGGGAATTATGGTTGTTCCACATTAGAAGTTAAAAAAAGACCCACAGCCAATCCAGCCTGCTATAAACACTGACCTTATGCAGAGCTTCTTTGGAATAGGCTAAGCACCTGAAAGTGACCTTAACATATGAAAAAAGACAACAGCCCTGCTGTATTTGAGAAAACCAGCCCCTCAAAATTCCTACGCAACTTATGAGTGCCTTCACAATCACACTTAGCCCAGTCTGAGTCTATGACTTGGCAGACTACTGAATCACTTCTGTGCAATAAATGTTATCTTCAGTTTCTCCTGCAATGAATTTATAGTGTACCAGAGATCTGCTCAGCTCCAGTCACTCAAATTCTTCTCCCTCCCTTCACGCTATTCCCTGGCCTTAGGCTGATGAGAAGGTTGGCCACTACTAGCCAAGTCTTTATTTTGTCTTCCCTACATCCAAAAAGCCAAAGTTTTACATGATATAGGGGGGGCTCATTATAGTATTCTTATAAGGTTAGAGGGGGTTGGGGAACTGGTCAGGCAAGTTTCTTTGAAGATGAAGACCAGCTGGCCACTTTAGTACTCTGCCCTGATGAGCTTTTCAAAGCAATGAGCTGGGTTGCAACAACTGCATCTAGGTGAGAAACACAACCAAAAGGGCAAAAAAATGGGGCTGGGCTGGAAAGTTGCTGTGTTGAGTGAGTTGGAAGCTGGAGGGGAGATGCCACAAGAGCTGATGATAGAGACATGTCTTGCTCTGTGCTGGATTGAAAGCTGTGACTAATAGAGAAGTGGGTGAAATGCTCTAAGCCCCTCCATCCGATGCTCAGGCTGTGTATATGTGTAAGTAAGACCACATATCTTCAAGCACCGTCCCTGTGCCACTGAGTGCACAGAACTAGTTTCCCTAAGGTGCTAGAAGTGGAAGTTTTAAAAAGTTATCATACTGATTTCCACCCCAGTATGACGTACACAATGTTCCCAGTGATGTCTAGAGTCAAGGCAGAATCTCCTCTTAAGATTTCACTTCTGCTCATTTATGTAGGGAACATTTCCCTCTCCCCAGATGTCCAGTTTTGTTTCCAGTGTGAAACTACTGTATAAACATTTCATCCTTTGCGTGCAGCTCTACAAAAGCTAAAAGTTACAGCAGTGAAGAAACTGACCCAGCATTTTAGATAGTGGTCTATCAGCTCCTGCACTTTAGTGTGCTCCTGGAATGTGTAGCTGTGCATCTTTAGGCAACCAGTATGTTTTGATCAGCTTTTTTTTTTTTTTTAAACTCTCTGGTGCTCTTAAGAAGGAGGCCTTAATGAGCAATTGTGCACTTCTTCAGCAGATGGGAGCGATCACGGGGCTCCATTTGCTCTCCCAGAATCTTGTCACAGATTGCCATGGTTGTAATTGCCTCAGTAATTACAATTGAGTTAATAACTCTTATTTTCCAACTCAGGGAACAGGGATGTTCTAACTGGCTAGCAATGATGAATGCAGGTCTGTGGATGGGAAACATACTATTCCAGATAGTTTGTACTTTTGCATTATGTTGAACAGGAATGAAGTGGGATCCCCCACCCCCACCACCAGAGAGACTTCTGAGCTTCTGCAACTACGTAGGAACACAGGAAGCTAATTTATACAGAACTACTGTTCAGAGGCCCAGCAATCATAGTGCACTGCTCTGAGGGGCCTAATTTATCAATATGTCCAGGTCATTTGAGTCCAGAAAATCCACAAGAATGGATGTCCCAAGCTTCTTGGAAGATCAGACCTCATCCATAAATCTGCAGTATTTACACAGGTGGAATAAATCCCCAAGGAGCCTGAGAAGCTGGGTGTTGACAATAGCGAGCAAAGCAATGGAAGGGAATTATAGATAATAGTCCTTTTTTGTCACATAAGGGATTTGGCTTTGCTGAACTGAGTCATAGACCATGTTTTCTTTGCTCTGTGTGTTTTTAAATTAGTGTTTTTAAAGTTAGTGTTGATTCTAGAGTCATTACTAATAAGTTTCCAAGGGCTGAGAGGGATAGGAAGTGGGAGAATCTGCAGAAAGTGACACATAGTTCAGGCTTTCATAATTCCTTAAAACTTTTGCTGTACTTAAAAAAACAACAATACAAGTTGAATGGACTCTTGCACTGTCATGTCTATCAAATATATTTATAGAATTTGCATCTGCAAAGAGGTATCTTCAACAAGAAACTAATTCAATCAGATTTTTCCCTTCTTGGTTTATAGAAAGAGGCATTTAGAGAGGAACTTGGAAGGAATTAAAAACAAAACAACCACCACCCCCATCATTATTTCAGTATAGCAATTATGAGCAACTGTTTCAATTGTTTTCAAACGATGAAACACTTTCAGCAGATACTAAAGATGCTTAATGGGTTTTGCAAAAAAATTATTTTAAGATTACTAATATCTATCCCTTTTATTAAAGACATTTGTGGAGACGAGTATTATGTGTGCCTTTTATATCTGCTCTAGAGAAGAAGCCAATATAATGACAATTCTTTCCCACTCCTTCACACCTAATATTTGTTTTATTTGTTCTTTTTGGGCTGGGAACAGGCAATAGCCTGGCCAGAGGCACAATCTGATGAAAACGCTAGCACCAAGACTGAGAAGATCACTGCTCATCACCCATAGTATGCATGCTATCAGCTGTGTAGCCAAGTATGCTACTTTGAACTATGATACCCCAGGATACCAGAGTGAATCTGCAATTTCAACCTATTTCAAGTCCCAATTACACACCTAAAGCAAGATATCAAAATGGTATTGTCACATGAAACATAGACTGACTCATTTTACCACACAATCATCTCTGTTTTTTAACTGCTGCATGAGGTTGGACAATTCTCTCACTGAGCACCTTCCTCACAGAATGGTTGAATTCTCATAGAACTGGAGCATGATCCAAAAGGAGACACTTCAATACATTTTGACTCACTTGAAGCCCCACTGACTCCCAAAACATTGCAGTCCTTGTAAAAACTGTGGCTTTGAACCAGGGCCGTCTTAAGCATATCCGGCGCCGTAGTGCAAAGATCCTTCCGGCGTCCCCCAATGTTTCCCAGAGTTGTCGACCTTTTCCCAAGTCTCTGCAGGGATGCTCTCCTCCCGCGGAGGCTTGGGAAGGAAGCTGCACGCCCACCAGCCATATGGTTCACAGGGCACAGCTGGCGGGTGTGCAGGGAAAGGGGGAGGCTGCCAGCAAAGCCGCACAGCTCCCCCACTCACTGGGGCACCCCTGAGAGGCCAGTGCCAATAGGAAAGACGGCTCTGCTTTGACACAATCCTTCCAAAACTACAACCAGCTTTGATAACTTTCACCACTGTTGGGAAGCTGGGGGATTAGCCATGTCCTAATTCATTTGCTCTCCTGGTGCTTCTGCTGTTAAAAGACTCCAGTTACCTGGCAATGCTCCACTCAGGATCAATACGTTGAACTCTGGGGTCATCAATGTACTCAAACTGCAACATGCTCTCTAACTGGGCCCGGTCCACACTGACTGAGACATGGACAGAGCCAAGGCCATGAGTGGAAGGTGCCGACACGCACACAATTTCATTTATGGACCTCCTGTAAAAGAGAAGAGAGAAGTGGAACCTTTAACAAATAGGAAGGCAATCAAGGGGCAGGTAACAACAAGCACTCAGGATGACCGACAGATAAATGAATTCATTGGGCTCACTCTACCAAATACAAATGGGTGACAACCTTTGTGGAGAGATGTAGTGCCCACCTAACAGATATGGTAGCTACCTGAAGGCACAAGACAAATAATGCCACAGTACAAGGCCTAACCAACTGAAGGCATTACAACTTTTTGCATTCAACTGACACAACTCATTGTAATATTAAGACTGGAACTTGCTCAGAGTTTTAAATTTGCTGTGGTGTTTCAAGTCTTCCAAGCATGTGGTAGAGTCCTATCTATTCAGCATCAGGTTGCATGTGGGTCCTTGCTGAATTAAAAACACCCTTGTGTGAAAACCTTTTTTCATGGAGGTTAGGCAAAAGGCTGACTAATGTGTATGTGTGTGAAAGAAGCTGGGATGGAAGGTTTGCATGCCTCTGTACTCCTGACAGTTTGTTTCTCAATGGAAACAGCCTTGGATGGGTGTAGGCTTGAGAAAAGAAATGGGCAGGGAAGGGTTAATTAAGGATGCTTCCAGACTGTCACTATATTTAGGTGGGAGTCAATCACATCCTGACAAATTCCAGGCTGCGCAATTAAAGCTGATTTCGAGCTGTTGCAAAACAAACCTGCTTCCTCAAAAAGACTGAACTTTTAATGATAAGGAAAGTGATGGGACAATGAACAGGCAAGTGTGGGATAGCACTTGCTTGATGCCATATCATCTAATCTGCCTGCAAACAAATCAAGATGAATTAAATAGCCTATGTTGCCTAATCTTTCCATGAACAAATCAGGCGAAAAACTCATTAAACAGGTTGTCTAGAAGTGACCACTTTCTGCTCTTAGTCTGCTCAAAATCAACCCCAGCAAAAGATACGGAGAACCTATACATTTCCCCTAAGGGTGGGAAAGCAGCTAGGAGAGAGGAGTGATTCTGAGCTAGCATATGTCAGGAAAAGAGATAGTTAAATCATAAGACTTGCATGCCACAGTGAGTATATGCCCCAGAAATACAATCCTGACGTGTAAATGTGCAATCATACAATTAGAATTCTGAAGGTTCTTGGCCTTCTTAAGAAAAGCTGTAATAAACATGATTAACCATAATATATTAATAGTAATACTGCTTGGGTCAAGTGTGATGTTGGCACACAAAAGCAGCAGGAAGATTCAGTACAAGGTATGAGCTTCAAGTTACACTGCAGTGATAAAAACATAGGTCATGTTGGAGCTGGGTCAATAGTTTCAGCCCAACTTGGGGGGGGGGGTTGGAAAGAGGGAGGTTGAAAAGAAACTGCCCTCAAAAACTGGGGTGGATAGGAGAAATCTCATGAATACGGTACTTTACTTAAAAGTGAGGTGGTGACAGCAGCAAGTGTATGTTGTGACAGGACTTCCTTATCCTGCCATGGGCATTCTGGTCAGCCCCAAGCCTGGAAATGAGACAGGAGCAGCTATGTAAGACTTTTCAGACTTAAAAAAAAAGCAAGAGGAAGAAATATTACCACCTCATTTTTAAGTAAAGTAAGCCAAACTCTCCCCTTCCAATGCAAAAAAGGTTCAAAGATTTCTCATGCTTCCCCTTCCAACAGCCAGTAAGCATTCTGTTTTAAGGATCATACAACTCAAATTTATATGTGTGTATCATGAGCCCCACATCCCTGTGGGGACAGGCCATGACCTGGCAGTCTCAGACTGAGGAGGGGGAATTGTGGGGACCGGGTATAGAGGATGCAGGTTCTCCCATTTCCTCCTCTTCTGCTGAGTGTAGAGCCTCATTAGGAACAACCCATTAGGGATGGCTGAGCCAGAGGTGGCAGGGACTGAATAGGAGTCAGAAGAATGAGTGCATTTCTCTTGCCAAGCACTGTGCACTACTTCAACTGATGGGAACAGATTCACTCACCCAGACAGAACGCATTCTCGCAAGGCAAAAAAGTCTTATGAGTAACCTTGCCACACCTCGTCTGTAAAAACTTGACAGGAGAGGTGTGAGGACTTGTTGGGACATCTTTGTTGTTTCTGCTCAGTTCTAAGTTTCTAGCCTGGCTCCTGAATTATTGAATCCTACTGCTATTGAGTAAAGATCTCTAATGTGCAGTTAAGAGCCTCTGTTGATGTGTTTTTGGCAAGAGTCAGTATATTCTCTCTCTCTCTCTCTCTCTCTCTCTCTGTGTGTGTGTGTGTGTGTGTGTGAGAGAGAGAGAGAGAGAGAGAGAGAGAAGACAATAGAAGAGGAAGGAGGAAGAAAGGGTAACAAGAGAGAGAGAAGGAATGGAAGATGCAAAGTAAAAAAGGAAGACTAAGTAGAGTTGTAGAAACAGCTACAATTATTTATCTTGGGCTTCAGAATAAGTCAACTCTGCTTAGAGCTGAATGATTCCTAGCTATTCTCTGTCATGTCCTAGCTATTCCCTGCCACCAGTGGCCTCATGTGAGTACAGGCATTTTAGCATGCTAGAGACCAGACTTCAGAGAAGCCTGCTTAGCCCTTGTGTGAGATCCAAAGCGACACATCACTGCTGGCAAAGAATTACTGCAAGCTCCCTGTGATCAGTTAATTAGCTTTCTGCGCTATTACCATGTCGTCATGGTGAATCTCCCCACTCCTCCGATCAGAGGCAGGAGAATAGAGGGAAGCTGTAATTATAGTGAATCTCATTAGAAACTGCTTCATCTAATCAGTCTCCCTGCACATCATGAGTACATGCCAAGTTCATCACCTACAAACCGTGCAATAAAAAAGAGAGAAGGGGGTGGGAAGAAACAGGCCATGTTATGACCTTGTATGGAAAGGCTGGAGTAAACAGCATACTGCTGGATTCTCAGCAGTGTTAGTTTACAGGTTATATGGAGTAATTAGATCAGTGAATTAGGAGCAATGCCTAAATATAACCATTTATTTATATGGATTATTATGCTGGACCAAGTCTGGCCTTGGAAGCCAGACTTGAACAGCACACTGAAATAAAATATTCTACAAAAATTCTACCTACAGACCATTATAAAATAATAATTTTGATTACCAGGAAAACTATTCCCTCTAGCAGAGTTGTAAAGGCTTACTGGTAGCTATGCCCTTGAAACCTTAAGCTGTTTGAATGGGACATTCAGCATTCCAGAGCCCTGGATGGCCATAAAATTAAAAGAACATATCCCTTCTACTTCTTGTTACAAAAGTGGAGCCCCCAAGGGGTACTCAAGGGCATGAGGTACTGGCACCTCTTTTTGTTGTTGTTAAAAAGTGTGGCACTTACTGCAACAACTTCATGGTGAGTACTGGCACTTATTTTTCTAGGAAAAAAGCATTGGCTACGTCCCAGCACTAGTTTCCAAGAGAGCTTCTACACAAGTCAAGACTTAAAAAGACATCGGAGAACCAAAGGCTGTGAAGAAGAAAGCTCATCTACAGATATGAAATGAAATAGGTGGTAAAGTTTAACTAAGCATATTCTGTTTTCCTTTTTATCTGTTCCAAAGGTATAAATGAACCCTTTATTGAATGAGATGAGGAAATTCTGTCCATTAAATCCTACTCACTCATTAACATGCTGTCCCTAATCTACTGCTCCCCAGTCCAGGCATAAAATGGGTGCTCAGCTGTTTTATCTCTTCAGAGGCTGCAGAAAGCAGCAATTCCCATATATTATGCCTCCATAGGAAAAGCTGGTTTTATAGCAGGTGAAAGGAGAAAGCAGAACAGGCAAGTGACATTGTACTTCCTCATCTCACCAAGTTCCCTCTATCCTACGAACAAGCAACAGATCCAAGTGGGGGAAATAGACCAAAAGGTGGAACCTGGCTTTCCACATCCCTTCTTGAACAATGCACATACATTTCCTACTCCTCTGAGCAACTATTTTATTACTTTTACTGCAGTTACATTTATATCCTACATTTCTTCCATCATGGAACTCAAGGCACTGTGCACAAGTACTGACTGGCAGTCCCTGTCTAGTGTTTTGCCAGCCCTGCCTGGACATACCAGGGACTGAATCTGGGGCCATTTTTGTGCCACACACGCTATTCCACTGAGCTGCAGCACCATATGACTTCAGACTAGGCCCCGAGAGCACTTTTCCTGTGAACATATGAACATGTCCCCCATACTAGGACATTTGAGGTGAGGATGGAGTGCCACTGAGTATAAGAGCCTTTGTGACTAGCCCAAATTCCATAGCTCTTCATAAAGCCTGGAAAGAATGTTTTTCGTATTATGAAATATTTGGAACAGTTGATAAAAAGCTACACTAGTACTACAATGCAGAAAGGCATATGTCAACAGATGCTTATTAATGATCACTGTAGCTCATATGAATGGTGCATAAATCAGGGTGTATCTATCAATGTACTGTATGTTTTTAAATGACAAATAATATAGTATGCATTTTTCCATAAAGAGTAAAAGTGGTGAAATATGGAATTCATCCCAGAAATAAAAACAGGTATTTGTTGGTGACAGCTCAAGTTTCAATATGAAAAGAGTAACACTTTATCCTTAGTCTCTGTCAATTAGAACTTTCCCCACCATTCTGGCAACTGCCAATCTTCTGCTACATCTACAATCAGGATACCAAAGTGGAAAGAGATGCCTATAGTTCTTTCAGGATTGCATTTACTCATGAGACGAGGGGGGTGGAGATACTTTAAAGGGATTTTTACAACAGCAGAACATGCTTGGGATCTGCAGAAGGGGCAGGATTTTACTATATGAAAATAAAGCAATGGATAAAATGAATAAACATTAAACTGGCTCATTGCTATGCAATGCTCATTATTGTCAGTGACAGGGTAGCTTAAGGTGATTAAGAAGATATTGGGCATATTATAGCTGGAGTAGCTGAAACGCTGCCCATGGAAGCACAATTACAATAACACACACTGATATCCATGGACCAGCCCCCTTACCCATAAAACTCGCAGGTCTGGTTACCCAGCAACACCGATACACTGCTGCCAGCCCCCAGAAAATGGCCAGCGATGGTCACCATAGTCCCTCCCGATTCTGGTCCACGGCTAGGACTCAAGGTGCTCACTGCAGGGTTCTTGGAAAGAAAGAAAAGAACAAGATAATCTGCTATGGTGTGATGCTGTTGCATATAAGACTACAGCACTAAATTGCATTTCTATGTGAAGGTAGGTCCTTTGGTTGAAGACATGAAATACATGACCAAATATAGCTAGCAGGAAGAGTTTGTATCCAGTTGTATTTCTTTCTTTTTGCCCCTCCCCTCAAGTTTCTTTAATGTAAATAACTCCCCCAATTTGGTGCTTGGATGTGGGAAACTGCTATCCATACTTCTGCTTGTCCTGTGCCTCAAAAGAACAGATCTGAGTGGTTTTCCCTTTGCTCTAATCCTTTCCCCACTCTTTAGTGCTAAATTGGAGCAAACATCAATCCAGAGAAAACCGAAATTGCTGTTTGCTCTGACTGAGTGCGAAAGAAGGGTTTTCCCGAGGGGAAAGCAGTGGGACAAAAGGAAGTGTGGATAAACCCTGAGGCTCAAAACATCACAAAACAATAAAAGTTGCTCAGCTTGGGCCTAGGCACTATTGTGAAGCCTAGCCACGTCACAGGATTTTCGTGAGGAAAAAACACTGCTCTGGACTCCTTGGACAAAAGCAATGGAAGACATAGTAACAATAAAATAAAACCATCAATGTCACAGATCACAAAAATATACATAAACATAGAAGTTTTATGAACTGTTAGGATTTGAAATGAAACTATTTTTGAGACTGCATTTCTCCCCATGCAGAACTAAAAGAATTAAGGTCAATCAACGTGTTCATAATTAGTGACTGCTGCTTATTCTTACTAAATAAATCTGAATAAATCAGGTACAGCTTTGTTTTTAGTCCATGGATATAACCAAGTTGTTTAGCTAGTCCTTTCCCCACAATGACTCATATCCGCTGTTGGGCAACATCCCTTCTGAATTCCCTGAACAGTCCCATCTTTGTTCAGCAACAGACAGTACAGTGAATATGACACACTTCATACTACATATAGTATGACAGACTCTCAGATCATGGTATTTCCCAGAAGGCAGCATCCAAACTGCCATATAAAATCAACTCAGTGGTCAAACTAATCCAGTGCCCTGGCTCTGAAAAGTGACCTACCCTGAATGTTTCAGATATGCTTTCTCCAGCTTTGGGGGATTGGAAGGCATTCAAAGAGGCTATATAAGGAACAATCAGAGGGATAGGTTTTATCCAGATATGAGACTTACATCTGGGCCCGAGTTTTATGCTACATAATGATGCTCTAATGACAGCATTGTAGTCTAGGTAGGTGATTGAACTCAGTATAAATAAGTGCTTATCCCAGTTCCTGCCTAGCCTACTGAATGGCTCTTCTGTGTCATGATTTCTCTCCTCTATACAATGTAGATAATGATGCTGACTTCTAGAGCAAAATGCTCTGAAATCTATCAATGAAAAGCACAGCATCGTTAATATTAAATAGGACTTAACACAGGGTGGTTACAGCCCTGAACTCCTAAGAAATGTAAAATGCACAATTCTATGCAATTTTAGATAACAATGGACAGGATGGCTATTGCAGAAACTGGCAGACTTTAGGTCTCACATGGTTTCCAAGGCGTCTTAGTTTGTTACGGTATTTTGTTTCAGTTTTGAAGATTTTGGCCCTCATGATATATCAAGCCAAAATAAGGAAAAGGCTCAAAATTATGAGGAGCAGTAATAAGAAGCTCAAATTATTTTTGCTTGTTATGATTTCAAAGACAGAGCAAGGTTTTTGAGGGTATCTCCCCAGAATATAAATACTGTAAATTAAATGTAAGAGACCTAACATGCTGCAGTTCTCCATTCTTGAAGCTAATGTGCAAATTAGATTAATCCTGCATAATGAAGTATTCAAATTAGTTATGACTCTTCCAGTATCCCCTCATGCTAAACAAAGTCGCCTTTCCTTGGGCCAACAGTCCCCCATGTTTTGGCTAGCAGCCAACTTTTTCACTGTGATTCCCCTAGTATTTTCTGATACACTTACCGATTATTATGCTGGGATAACAAGCACTGTCTATATAAACAAGGAATTTCAGGGTGTTTCAGTCAGACACCCTTACTGACTCTCTTAAATCACTGTTTTCCTCAATGAATTGTGAACAGCCCACCTAGACTCACAACCCAGCTGCTGTTTACATAATGGTTTGTCCAAGGATGAAAGGAGGAGGACGACAGAATTTATCTTGCATGGGGTGATTGACTCCTATTTCTTCAGTTGATTACTCACCTCTTGAATCAGACTCAGAAGACAGTCAACCCAATATAACTGATGTCTTATGGCCAAATAAAATGTGGCCATTTTACATTTGCTACCTCACGTCTAACCTGCTCACACATACATGTATAAGGTGGGAAGGGTGTCTAACTGTCACATCAAAAAGGAGCACTGGTGTGGAGAGCTAAACCTTCTCTCCTCTGGCCCTTTGATCAAGCTCCTTTTTCTCCTGCCAGATTTAATACCAGAGATGAGGAAGACTTAGACAAAAGAACACAAATGCTGGACTAACTACATGGAATCAAGGCAGGGCAAGGAGAAGACAGTGGTCATAATTCTGCTCCCCTTACCTACACATTGCTTTTAATGTTCAAATTTATACATGAATGGGAAAGACATGTGAACAAGCAAACGGGGCAGCTGCCATCATATCTAGTTTGGCCGTAAAACATACAAGCAAAATCTGTTTAGTGTCAAGTATAGGAAGAGAGTGTTGAAGCTGAGCCCCACCTTCTGCCATCTCTCCATCTCATTACAATATTTAAGTACCACTGACTTTCCTTTATGAAGCCTGTGCCAACAGAGAAGCAAAAAATATATATCCAGGCAACAGGAGAAGGCTTCTTCCATTCATAAAAAGGCCTTGCAATGCAAAGGATGATAACTTACAACATATGTTGAACAAGTTGCTGCAAGGTGTTACATGGAGCTTCATCTTCACAAATGCCTTCACTCATGCACTGGCTATTACTTTACGTGGCCCTAGACTGTTGGCCTTCTGTACAGTAAAAGAATTGTTCTTCAACAACAAGCAGTTTGACATGGACCAATACAATGAATGCTCTGTGCCTCTGGCACTAGCGGCGTGACTTCTTCTGATGCTGAAGGGTTTGAATACAAAAGGCAGTTCTAAGCTGGGCGAGGAAGTCCTATGGTCGGCTTGCCAGATCAAACTCGGCAGACTATGTTACAGAATATCATTACTTCTATTAGACTATTTAGAGACCTTACATAAGAAACTGTGAATGGTCTCAGCTTCCTTTCTAATAAATTGATGGAGGTGAAACCTGCTTCCACTGCAGGTACTATTTGCATAGCTGTCAAAGTTTCCCTTTTTTAAAGGGAAATTTCCTTATTCTGAATAGGATTCCTCGCAAGAAAAGGGAAAAGTTGACAGCTATGACTATTTGCTATGATACAACATCCTTTCCCTTTCCTTTTTTTCCTTCTCATTCCTTTCAAGAAGCACAGCCACCCTACACTCCTCTTGCTCACATATATTGCCTGCTTCTCCTAGAGTGTGAGGGGGCAGGCCTCTGGGCCTTTCTATCTGGCCCTCAGAACTCTCCCCGGACCACACTCCTCACTGGCCCTGCTTCACACCTGAAGTGTTTTTGCTTGACTGGGATGAGTCCATGAATTCTGATAATGCTTTTTGATTAGCTGGAGGATTCAGAGGAGTGTGTGAGTGCATGTAGCCTAGGTTACACAGGCTTAAAAAATCAGATTACTAGTCTATACCCTGCAACTGTCCTAGAAAAACCGGGACATCCTGTTTTTTCCTGTGAGAGCACAGCGGCCATTTTGGGCACTGCTCTGGATTCATTTTGGGATGTTTGGAAGCACTTACTCTATATATATAAAAAAGCAGCTTCATGCAAGCCCTATATGGTTACTCTGGAGAAAATGAAATAATTATCACTATGGATCAGGGGTAGGCAACCTAAGGCCCGGGTGCCGGATGCAGCCCAATCGCCTTCTCTATCCGGCCCGCGGACAGTCCAGGAATCAGCGTGTTTTTACACGAGTAGAATGTGTGCTTTTATTTAAAATGCATTTCTGGGTTATTTGTGGGGCATTGGAATTCATTCATATTTCCCTCCCCCCCCAAAAAAAATATAGTCCGGCCCACCACATGGTCTGAGGGACAATGGCCAGCCCACGGCTGAAAAAGGTTGCTGACCCCTGCTATGGATGGTTTTCAACTAAGGCTTACTAAGAAGAGACCCATTGAAATTAAGTTACACGACTAAGTTAGGTCCATTAAACAGGTCTACTCTGAGTAAAACTTCTATGTTTATCAACAAGCAAGGCCTCTCAGTTCAAAAATATGCCTGAAAGTATCTTCAAAAGCAGGCCTTAAGCTCTTTAAACAATTTTGTCCTTAGCATCTGAGGCAGGCTTTAAAGTTATGGCTTGGTTCATCTCTAGCACCCATGGGTGCATATTTCTTTAGGCTTTAGCAGGATTTCTTTAGGCTTAAGGAAGACTGTGTGCTTCCTCAATGAAGGGCTCTCCCCCATCACATTACATATAGCTTTCTTGATGCAGCACCAAATGCACCAAGATGTCGCCAGAACAATTCAACCACTGCCTTGGTGTTTTAGTAATAAAATTAGAAGGCATAATAAAATAAAATAAATAAATATAATAAGTAAATAAAAATAATTAAATGTTTTCTGCTAACTCTGATCTCTTGACTCCTTGTCTTCTGCAAGCTGTTCATGTGCCACCATTAAAGTAATATTGTGCCACCACTAAATTAAGTTTCCATTCTAGTATGTTGCTCATAACTGATGGGAAGGCAGGTGCTAACTGACTCATCTATCAATTACTATACAAATTGTGGGCAATTGGTAAGCACTAGCATACAGTCAACACAAAATCAATGAGGCTGGATAAAATGCCTTGTTTAGGCAAAAGGGGGAATGCAGAAAAGCCCCAGGTGTGACTTGCAATCATATGAACAAAATGGTTGATAATTAAATAACAGAAGAGTGCAATGATCGCTTCAGGAATGGAAGGCTGCAATGAGGAACTCTGGATTAAGCAGATAAATGGAACCTCTATTGAATTAGTATCCATTTGCTACCTAAATGGAGAAATACCATTGTAAATCAAGCAAAGATGCAAAAGAAAGTGGGGGAGGATTGAGGAGAGAGATAGAAGAGACAGAAATCTTTACTTTCAGCGTAAGCAGTACAAGAAAACCTTGTTTTTAGCAGCTACACAAAACTATTCCATAGTGTTCTGAATGCATGTGTAACATAATAGAAAGAGGCAACTCCATAGATTAATTCTATTAATTAAATTCCAGAGTAATAAGTGTTCTCATTATTCTTTCCATTGTGAAAGTAGGGCGTGGGGAGAGAAAGAATTATGCATCCTCGGCAGGATGACAAAGAGGGAGGGAGATATCAAAAGTATTGCAAACTCACATTGCAAAGACACACTTTGGCACAGAAGATACCTGTAAGCGGTAAGAGTCAGCCTTAGTTTTGGGTGAGGATATAACATGATTTTACAAGGCAATAGTGTAAGCATAACACATACACTGTTATGTATGTAACAATATAAGCATAACACATAAACTGATGATAAGCAGTGTAGGGGCAATGAGAGATTTAAGTTTGACAAAACATTTGGCCCACAAATTAATCACTAGATACAATCAAGGTTATTAAGTGGTTGATGTTAGGGCCCCACATTACCTTTAGTTTGTTAATTTGTGTTTTAATGGTTGAATTATTAATTTTCCTTTTTATTTGTAAACCACTTTAAGCAGGCTTAAGTCAGGCTTAACAGAGGGCTTCATGGACACACTGTTAGTCTGGATCAGAACTGAGTTTCCTTTATACAATGTGGACTGTAACGTTTAAGTACTAAATCCCAATTTTAGTTAACATCTTTTTATTGTATAGAATAGTGTAGTCATTAGGGAGAAAGTTGTTCCATGATTCTTTTTTAATTAATTTTTTAATTAATTTGATTTTAATTAATTTGATTTTAATTAATTCTTATGATGTTTTATAATGTTGCACTATTTTAGTGTTGTTAGCCGCCCTGAGCCCGGCTTCGGCTGGGGAGGGCGGGATATAAATAAAATTTATTATTATTATTATTATTATTTTTTATATGCTGGAAATTATATTTCTTTCTACTACAGTAGTACCTTGGGTTACATACGCTTCAGGTTACAGACTCCGCTAACCCAGAAATAGTGCTTCAGGTTAAGAACTTTGCTTCAGGATGAGAACAGAAATTGTGCTCCAGCGGTGTGGCGGCAGCAGGAGGCCCCATTAGCTAAAGTGGTGCTTCAGGTTAAGAACAGTTTCAGGTTAAGAACGGACCTCCGGAATGAATTAAGTACTCAACCCAAGGTACCACTGTATTTTTATCCACTGCTTCTCTCACCCCTGAATAAGTCTTCATTTAATTCTTCTTCATTTCCCCGTGAGTTACACAACCTCTAGAACAGTGTTTCCCTAACTTGGCTCTCCAACTGTTGTTGGACTACAACTCCCATCATCCCTAGATAGCAGGACCAGTTGTCTGGGATGATGGGAACTGTAGTTCAAAAACAGCTGGAGACCCCAGATGCCGAAACGCTGCTCTAGAAATGCAAAGCCTTGCATGACCAGTGGGAGGAAAATTGCTTCTCCTATAATACAATGGACAAATACATAGGGAATTTGAAGGCCTTCGGTATTAAGTAGGAATGTATAAACTCATGACTGCTCTTTTTTATCATTCAAGCAGGTGAAGAGTACATGGTTGTCTAAAGAAACAAAGCCCAGGTATCATTATGTGCCTGGGTGATAAAGGGGGGAAAGTAGAAAAGTAATAAAATGAATATATAAAACTATTCTGTCAAAATACAAAAGGAGTTGTTACACGTTAAATCTTAATGGCGAGCTCAAATATGATGTCCCCCCCCTCCATGTGCTGGTCACTAGAAAACACTTCTCCACAGCCCTCTCACACAACAGACTTTACATTTCTTAACAACTTATCACATGAAGTTGCAATTTGGGGACGGTCACTGGCACTGCAATGAAGCCACATTTAATTTATTGTAATATGCTTTCAAATACTACTTTACTAAACTGAGACCAAGCTGAGAAGAAGTCGAGGAAGACATATCCAAGTTAATAAGATGACAGTAATGCAAAAGCAAATGATCAATCATATCCTGATAGCAGACCCTCCAAGTGTCCCTATTTTCCAGGGACATCCCTGATTTAGAGAAGCCATCCTGGTTTCTGATTTGATCCTGGAATGTCCCACTTTTCCTTGGGGTGTCCCTATTTTCATTGGAGAAATGTTGGAAGGTATGGAGTTATCTGACCCCTGAGCCGCCTGAAGGCAATCCTGTATAGGGAAGTTTAAAAAAATGTTTAATGTTTTTATATATGTTGGAAGCTGCCCAGAGTGGCTGGGGCAACCCAGTAAAATGTGTGGGCTATAAATAGTAAAATTATAATTATGGAATGGGACATCCCTGTTTTCATCGGAGAAATTTTGGAGGGTACGTGATAGCTGGTATGCTAAACATGATTACAGTTTATCAACTAAACATTTGCTGGATCATCATCAAAGCATGGATAATAAACCATTTATAGACCTTTGGAAAAATTCTGTATCCCCAGTAAACATTAATTTGTAAGAGGTGGAAATGACTCTTTTTGTATTTGGTAGGAATTTGACTGCACTGGTACTTACCACAAATGTGTAATGCTGTGCAGACTTGGCCACAAATTCTGACTTGCACTCTCCGATGCAGAGAAGTGCAGGGCCGGAACTGATGTCAGGCTCAGCCTGTCCCATCTCACACACAATTCTGAAAATGTAAAATCCATAGTGAGTCCTACAAAAAGAAAGGAAGTTGTACCTAGCTGCGTTCCCAGCCCCATCATTTTCAACCTTGATTCTCTCATTTTCTGAATGAGCTAATGATAGAGTCTTTCTTTTTTCCTTTTGCCATGCAGTAATTCAAAGGGGAGAAAGTCAAAATTAGTTACAATTATTGCAAGCTGTAAACTTGAGTGCTAAGCAAAGCACAAATGGCAAATATATTAGCCTATAGAAGAGAAAGTGTGAAGTCCTTGAATTAAAAGATGAGTTCATTAACGGAATGGCTCTCATTGCAGGTCACAGTTTAATGAACAACAAGCACACATACACCAATGGGGTACGATAAACTCTGCAAGTTGATCACAAGAGAATGCTCCGATAGTGATGAGAGCATGAGGCAAGTGGAACATAACATTGGCACAATGATATAATATTCACAGATAAAACAGCTACTCTTCTCTCTCCACATGTTCAATCAATGCACGAAGGAGATAATTGTGACTGCTGGTCCCACTTTTCATACAACAGGCATTATGCACAAATGGACCCTGTGCACAACTGTACATGCGATCAAGAACCATTCTTATGCCCCCCTCCAAAAAACCAGAGATTGGGGTGGGATGGGGACTAGAATATATGCAGGGATGTGGTGTGGGACCAGCCACAATGACTGACTGAATGGAGTGAATGCATTGAAGGCACTGCTGGATTTACGTATAAGCTAAACAAGCTATAGCTTAAGGCCCCACTCTCTTGGCCCCACCCCCCAAAAATTTCACTATTTATATATTTCTTCTTAATTGTATTTCAGTTCAATTACTTTGATAAAATACATATTTTGTTATGTGCAAATGGCTTTAGATACCTATTAGGTCCATAAATTACCATATAGCATATATTCAACACAAAAAATAGCAACAATTTGTTGTTGACAAAGGACAACAGGACATATAAAGGGCCCCATCACCTTCAGGAGCGTAGGGCAGGCATAGGCAAACTCGGTCCTCCATATGTTTTGGGACTAAAACTCCCACCATCCCTAGCTAACAGGACCAGTGGTAAGGGATGGTGGGAGTTGTAGTCCCAAAACATCTGGAGGGTCGAGTTTGCCTATGCCTGGCTTAGGGCCTCATCAAACCTAAATCCGGCCCTGATTGAAGGGGAGCATAACAGACAACTAGTACATGTACGTCTCTTTCTGTCTCCTTTATATTTTCTTTGCTATTATTTTGGCCGTCCATTATCAGGCTGAAACAGGATGAGACGCTCCTTAAAATAGGGCTGCTGACAAAATCTGAGCTTGTATTGGAAATGAGGGTGAGTTGGGATTCAAAGTAATGAAAAAGGGTGGTAACCCACAGTGAAGAATGTATCACATGTTGTGCCATACAACTGAGTGGGTGGATCTACAGCTAAAGTGGGGGTGGTTATACTACCAGATATACCAGATTTGTGTGTGTGTGTGTGTGTGTGTGTGTGTGTGTGAGAGAGAGAGAGAGAGAGAGAGAGAGAAGAAGAAGAAGAAGAAGAAGAAGAAGAAGAAGAAGAGGAGGAGGAGGAGGAGTTTGGATTTGATATCCCGCCTTTCACTCCCCTTCAGGAGTCTCAAAGCGGCTAACATTCTCCTTTCCCTTCCTCCCCCACAACAAACACTCTGTGAGGTGAGTGGGGCTGAGAGACTTCAAAGAAGTGTGACTGGCCCAAGGTCACCCAGCAGCTGCATGTGGAGGAGTGGAGACGCGAACCCGGTTCCCCAGATTATGAGACTACCGCTCTTAACCACTACACCACACTGGCTCACTAGAGAGAGACCCACTTGATTTCTTGCAACACCCCTGCTTGCTGTACTGATGGCAGCTCATTCTGTGAAAGCACAATAACAACAGCACCCTATACCATCCTACCATTTTCTGCAGCCTTAGTCAAATCTCCTTCCACAAAGAAACTTAAATAAACCACAAAGAGACACTTTAGACAGAATCTTTGAAAGAGGCTTAACATTAAACACGTAAATGCTACCAAATGTGAGATCCGCTATCGCTGCACATCACAGCAACACAAGCTCCTCAAAGAGTTGTTGCCCTTGGAGAATCATAGCAGTTGTCCTGTATTCCTAAATCCTTTGTATGGTCTTCTCTATCATCATCTTAATCATGGATTATGTGCGTGCCTCTCTCTTTCACTCTGATCAAAATAGAGCTTCTTCCTTCTCCAAGCTTACGCACTAAACTCAGTGGGATTCATTTTGGTCACAGTATATAAACAGAATAAAAACCTACTGGAGGTAAAGAATCTCCCACAAATTCCCCTTCTTCTCAAGAATATTTGAATGCTGATTTAATTTGACATAAAGAATGATGTGTTTTAAAACTGTATTATCAGCATCATTTTTGTGTGAATTAGATACATTAAGGACACTTCTGTGATTGTTTAACCTCCACTTACCTTGCAACCTATCCTAAATTCACCATGCCACACCCTACAGAGCTTCTGAAATCTAGTTGAGCATGCATCTGGTAAATGAGCTGATTTAGATGAATTGACAAAAACTCTGTGATGGGTTAGCAGGATTGCACCCGCCCCTGGTATGTCTGTCCCTCCTCCAAATTTATAGCTGCCCATATTTAGATTGCAAATTTTGCATGGTTGTTTTCTGTATTTAATGTAGGTTAACCATCATGTGGTTTGGGTCTACACGTTTGATTTTTCAAACATAACCCCTATGCAAACATCACATCCATCCAAGGATGCAGGTTTGATCCCCGTATAGGACAGCTGCATATTTGTGCATTGCAGGGGGTTGGACTAGATGATCCTCAAGGTCCCTTCCAACTCTACAATTCTATGATTTCTAAGTACCCATGGACAAGACAGGTACTTCTGGGAAAATGCATTATATAATGCTCTTGATGAAAATATACAAACCATGTAGTTTCTCACAGTTTTTCAAAACCTTATCCAAATTTACTCTGAAGTAAAGGTACTTCAAACATTCCACTGGTCTCAAAACCACATAAGAAAGCATTGCTCTAAATTTTGCTACCTTTGGTGTCTCTGAAAAGACACAACTTGTGTTTTCCATGGAGTGAGATTCCATTCCTTTTAGCAGCCTTTAGTTAAAGCTACCTTTTCATTCTTCCATTTCAAAGGCAGAATTTATACCTTTGAATAATAATGCAGTTATGACACCCACAGGCAAGTAAGAAATTAAAGATGGGATATTAATTGCTATGGTCAACCTAATCCGAAATAGAAATCCTAATCCAGGCCAAAGCTACAGGTATCATGTTAAAAAAACTGACGCTCTCAGAAGAGCCAAAGGGAGCCGATTACTAGGTTAAGTGGCCCTTTAACCAATATTAACCTAATTGCAGGCTGATAGATAGCATGCCTAGAACATGGCAAATCATTACAGTCTCAGGATTCATTCTGCCCACAGAACCCTTAAGAGCGCCCTTTTATCTGGACTCCTATTGAAAAAGCAGCCAACACTTGCTGTTATCTGCCCAGGATAAATGTTTTAATGATGTTAACAATCTTTGAAAGCTTGAGAGCTCTAATTAGAATTGCGATTATAAAATCAGGGTTTCATGCCACCATCAAAAGAGGATAATTTCAATAATCCCCCATCCCTTCTCCTAAAAATAAAACAGAATATTACAGTTTATAACGTGTAATGGCTGTGCAAACCCATTCCTACTACAGCTTATGATGGCATTAGTACACGGCCTCAAGCTATTACTGTAATAATAATGTTACTTTGCTCTTCTATAGAATCTTTTATCCCAGGATCTAAAGGTACTTTTCAAGCACTAGGCCACCCACGCCACCACAGGCAAGAACAATAGATAAATATAGCTATGCTGATTTCGAGAGGAGGCAACTAAGGCACTTAGTAATTTAGTGATTTGCCCAAGGTGAGTTAGAGCTAGGAGCAGAATCTCCTGGTGCAACCATTTGAATGCACTGCCTTCACCAAAGCAGGAATGGTTGTTTTTTTTGTCCTGCACTGTACAACATTTGCTAGCACTGTCAAATCCATTGCTTCCACCCACATCACTTTAATCTTCAGGGAGCATGCCATCAGAGAACAAGACTAAGAAGGTCTCCTCTGCCCACCCCCTTCATATATCCTACAATCATTAGCATCTACTTTAATACAGAATTGTTGCAGCATAAAGTTTATTCTCTTAAGCTGCAGCTTTGTCAGTGGGAAATTACATTTAAATGCTTCCATGTATTTTTCAAAAGGCAGCAGCTCCCAGTAAACAGAAATCTTGCAGAGCAGAGTGAGAGCTAAACTTCCCTCCCAGAAATGCTACTTTTCTATTTGCAGCAGGATATGCAGAGAATAAGGATAAGGGACGTGGGTGGTGCTGTGGGTTAAACCACAGAGCCTAGGACTTGCTGATCAGAAGGTTGGTGGTTCGAATCCCCGCAACAGGGTGAGCTCCCATTGCTCGGTCCCTGCTCCTGCCAACCTAGCAGTTCAAAAGCACATCAAAGTGCAAGTAGATAAATAGGTACTGCTCCTGCGGGAAGGTAAACAGCGTTTCCGTGCACTGCTCTGGTTCGCCAGAAGCGGCTTAGTCATGCTGGCCACATGACCCGGAAAGCTGTACGCCGGTTCCCTTGGCCAATAAAGCGAGATGAGCGCCGCAACCCCAGAGTCGGTCACGACTGGACCTAATGGCCAGGGGTCCCTTTACCTTTACCTTTATGCGGAGAAACAGTAAAAAGGCATCTCCTACCTGCAGTCGAAAGTAGTGGTCTACTCTACTACCTCATCCTGCTTTGTATATAGGCCAGGTGTTAAATCTTAACAGGAGTTTATTCCAAAGTATGAACACTGATAGCAGTAATCTATAGGGAGAAAGATTGTCTGAAGAATCTTCCTAAACCTCATTGAACTTGATTACTCAAAGGAGAAGTCAAGCTGAGAATATTACCCTGTGCTTTGTTCTATGCCTTTACCAAGAAAGAGCTTTATCTTGCTTAGTAGTTCTGTACTATTATTAATTTCCATAGGGGTAACCATGTTAGTCTGTTGCAGGAAGAAACAACAAAAAGCCAGTGGCAAAGACTAACAAATAACAAATAAACTTTCATAGGCTACATTCCACTTGAGACATGGAATGTTATCCTGGGTTACAGGAAAATATAAACGTTTAGGGACAGGAGTGGGATTGTAAACCGTGAAATTAGAAAGAAATTAAATGCAGAAAGTACAGATGATGACAATTATGTTATTAACAATGGCTATTCACACAAAGAGGACTTTCTGTAACTGACCTTAAAGTTACAATCCTGAACAATGGAACATCAAATGGAGACTTGTCATATGAAACTGCCAAATTACAAAGCATCAAGATGTTCAATACTAGCACCTGCGGACTGAATCGGGACAGAGGTAGGCTGTTGTTTTTAAAATCACACTACATGTGTCAATTGGATTGCCAATGCCTGTTATCAACAACTGTTTTTGTGTGAATGGCTACTGTAAACAATTAGCATTATCTGATTTTTTTCTGCATTTTGTTTCCTTCTGACCTCAGTGTTTACATACAAATGCCCAACCATGTGTGCATATTTCTGTAATTTAGGGTATTACGTCACATATCTGATGAAGCAGGCTGTGTCAATGAAGGTTATGCCATAATAAATGTGTCCATTTAAAAGGTGCCACAGTATTCTTCCTTGTTGTTCTTTCCTGCCACAGACTGTCCCTCTGGATATTCTTAAAGCTTCTAGTCAGTGGGTGAAAACAATGCTTAATGTTTTCTTTCTTACCTTATGCTGCATGGATGAGTAATTACTGACATGCTCCTCCTTTCCGTATACTGACTCCCCCCCCATAGGAAACTCCACAAAAACAAACAAATAAGCAGCTAACACGAGGACATGTGTCACTGGGAAAGGGTTGTTTGCCCATCCTTTGTTACATGCCTATTTTCTAATTTTCAGCTGACATTTTTCTTAGTGAAATAAATGAATTGACTCCAGCAGAGGCCTATTCGGATTAAACTGCTGTCACAGCCTCACACGCTTAACAAATGGCTGCCTGCATCCGGCAGCACGGCAGGACGCATTCCAATTGGAACTGGGAGGAGGCTGAGTGCAAACTGCAAGGTGCTCATCAGGAAAGTTGCTTAGCAAAGCAGGAGCCCAGGCTTGGAAGGAACCAAAATGCTTAATAAAAGTTTTAAAGGGTTGTTTAATCCGCAAGATAGAAAGAAAGAAATTCCAGCCTCTCGGTTCTTAGTTGGTGCAAGACAGCCCTAGATCTTTGGAGCGCTGCTGATTTATACTTGCCGAGAATCTGGCCTGACAGGTATGGGGCTTTCCTTTGTGCAGTGCTGTGGAACGCGAAAGGAGGAAATGACAGGAATATAGAACTGTGTGAGGTGTTATGCGGGAAGGTGACCCCAGAAATCATCTCAGCGCCGAGGCAGGGTTAATTAAGCATAAACTATTAACTGGAGTTGTAACCCTCTTCACCGCCACACACAATATGCTGTTTAGGTCATGTTGGCCTTAAGAAAAGCAGTATGGTTTTGCATCAGACTGTCTAGGAGGAATCTATTTGCACCCTGAGAAAAAGCCTGTGGAACCACACAACCTCAAAATGCACGTGCATGAAGGTTTTGAAACAGGACCCCTTTCTAACCATAATAATAATTTCCTCAGCCACTCTGGGCGGCTCCCAACCAAATATTAAAATACAGCCATGATTCCTTCACCTGCATGCTGTTGACATGCAGAGTTTTATATGCAGAAACAGAAGTTAACTTTTGTTAAGATAACCTATACTTGGAGCACATCTTTAGTTGAAAGGTATTCACACTGAGACTTTGTATAAAATATGAAAGCTTATTAAAGGAAGCACATTCCTGATAGGAGTTCTGTTGTCCTATATAGTTGGAGAAGCCAGACTTGTCCCTTTGTTCACAGAAGATGGACTTGGAATGAGGTGGTGGTGGAGAGAGTCTAATAATTTCAACCAGGTGAAAACTGTCACTTAACTTCACAATAGCCATGCCTTATTGGTGATGCACTTAACATAATGAGATGTTCACATTCACCACCCCCATGGTCACAAGGGAAAAGTACACAAGTGCTACTGGGGTGAATTAGACTCTATATGAATTCAAATGGCAAAGTCATTAAATACACCAGATACTATTTCTATGAAGAGCGCAGGTTGGTACTTTCTCCTGTGTTATAAACAATAACCCTTAATACAATTTCATATTTTACATTACACTGGAGTAATTGCCAAATACATCTTTAAAAAACCCCACCAACCCACAACTTGTGATTTAATTGGGGTCTATTTGATCCCAATATATGAGAAGTAAAGTGCTTTTTACACATGTAAGAGGGTTACATTGGGTCCTGCACATTACATTACTATTACATTTATTACAATCCTAAAGCAGCAAATGTCACAGCTTATACACTTTTCCCACTAATGCCTCACCCAGGCTTACAGGTTTATCTTCTTCAGATAACCAATTAGGATTCCAACTTTTAAATATAATCACCTGCCATGTTGTTCCTCCTAGCATAAGTATACTCAGTTGTACTTTCCCCCTTTGTTGCAAGGGGTAACAGCATTTATGCTAAATGCTGTAAGCGATTTTTAGCTCGCATAAAGGTTCAGGTGGTGCCACGTCAACTCACTGTTCGGCAATAATGTACTGCTCCTCCAATGGTGTACATTCCACACCAGCCACTTGTACATTGTGGGCGATCTCGGAGAAATCCAGGCCCAGGTTAACACCACGAATTGTAACTCGTGTTCCTCCCTCTGGTGGGCCTGACACTGTTAGGATCTGGTGAGGGAAGCAGAGCACAGGGTCAACAATAAAAACAAACTATATCTCACAGAAAGCCAAAAGCTGTATGACCACACAAAAAAGGATTGGAGCTGAATGTGTTAGTGTAGAAAGCTTAGCTTTAAAAAACAAAACAAAAACAACTCCCCACCATCTATTGTGAATACCGTTTCAACAACTTTGAGCACACTACGGTATTTCTAGATCCCAGTGACCCAACTAGAAAATGAGCATACAATTTAGGAGCATAAGGTGGCTAAAGTAATGTATGAAACCAGAGCGCAGGGGCTGGGGAAATCAATTTGTCATTAATTATCCATGTCAATATACTGTTGTTAGTTTGTGGTACACAAACCACCATCTTCTTAGGATTATGAAATCTGTTTTTCCCCCCAATGATGCTAAATATTCAAAAATATTCCCCACCACAATAACTTTGGTGTGGTATACCAGAAAGCTTAGTGAGGGGGGGGGAAGGTTATGGACCAGGTATCATTATGCAGGTAAAAGCAATTCTCCCTCCTGTCACCCACACCCAGGAGAATGCACCCCCTGTTTGGTATAGATATGTGCAAAATCACTGTTAAAAAGGTGCATGAAATTGCCTTTTAAGATTTGGACAGAGCTGCTTTTGTCCAAATGTAAAGGAGGATCACTGCAGGGAGATTAGTGCCTGTTTAATGAGTTACTAAGCAAAGATACCTGGAAATGAAGCATTAACTGGAACAGAATATTCAGTGAAGTGTAAGTTGTTCAAGACATCTGCAGTGTTTCCAGGTATGAGTAATGAGGAAATCTGCCCATCTGAATATACTCAGTGAACATTACAGTAGCAGAAACAACTTAATGGCCTGTGACTGTGAAAAGTCTAAATACACAGCTGAGTTATACTTTTATTAGGACCAATGTAAATGCCACAAAATGGTGAGCAAACACTCAAGTTCTCCAGAGCTCTTCATCGGGCTAACATTAAGCAAAATAGACGGAACAGGGAGGAGAGCTGGCTTGGTGTTGAAGCATGAAGCCTAGCCTACATTTAGCCTTAAGGCAGCTTGTAAGAGGACGCTGCAGACTGACTGCACAATCTAAACCTTGGGATTGAGAGAGTTTGGATTTGGTGGATCTTGGGCTCTTCCAACTGGGTCTCAACTAGTGTAAGCCCCTCATCCCAGCTCAGCAGGGGTTCAGTTGGCTGAGTCAGGGTTGTTCCCCCAAAAGGGGAAAGGTGGGAGGTGGGATAGGGCAAGGAGAGACACCTCTTCGAAACCCCTTGGCAGCTCCCTCACATGACCTAGCAGCTTAACGTTGGCTTTCTATTGCTAGGCTTGCTCTGTTAATTGGATTATATGCTGCTAGGATCGAGGCAGGCATTACTAAGGGCTGTTGGGTCAAAGAAGCAAATAATGGTTGATTCCCCATTTTGAAAATGTAAAATCTAGCAGTTATCCAAATTTGTCTCCAGTTCTAAGCAAAACACACAGATTCCTTGTGAAGGTAAATAAAGGGGGAAATGTTCACCTTACAATTTTAGCTTGTGTACTAGATAAAAAGACCATAAAAGTCAAATTAGGTGGCATTAACTAGTGGTTTGGGGGCATAGAACCCTGAACAGTTAATGCAACATTTTTGTTGGTCCTATAAAGGTATTTCCTGATTGTAGAATTAGATTCCCCTCCCGCCAACAGACCAGTTTGAATCTCTCTACTTTGTGTGTATCTTGGAGAACCCTGAATTGCATTGGTCAAAAGTAGGATCCTAAAACTGATTATTTAGGCCAATTTATTTCTGTAAAAGTTAGTGGATCTCCAGTCAGTTCATCAATAGAAAATAAATTTTATGTAAGTTATACTACAATTCCCTGATAATAACATATTCACCTAATAAGAGATAATAAGACTAACAAAGATTGAGGTGTCATTCCCAAACTCCAAATATATATGATGCTAACTCACAAAGCAAAGGACTAACATCTTACAGCCCTTTATTGACATATAGTTGCTAGTATATTATGTTTTTACAGTATAGTGCTTCTAACTCTTGTGATATAGTTCCACATTTGAATTTTCTCCCACATTTGTAGAGGTGATAAAGTTATTTTATTAAGAAGGGAAAACTGAGATTCTCACATTTTCAGCATGTAGTATTAAAAAAACAACAACTGAAGAACTGAACAGATTCCCAGACATTTCTAGAATTTTCCACTGCCTCTACTGCTTGGCAAATTTTGTGGCTGTCATTTTATGAACTAGGAATAGGCCAGATTTTGAGGCACTTTCTGCAAATAGTTGTGCTTCCTTTTGCAAAGGGGTGTGAAAAATCACCCCAAAAGTTGAGCGTGTTTCACTGGGATGAATGTGTGGTGTTTATTTGTTTTACAAATGGACCATAAAACAGACTATAGCTAACCCCCTCCAGCACAGTATTTGGTATCATCTTAGGAGACATCTGCAGCACTTTTGTTCCTGTCTGGTTAAGGGGTGTGTGTGTGGAGGGGGGGGTGAGTGTGTGTGAGACAGAATCTTTATTCCTTCCAGACCACCATGTATTTGTCCACTGCAGCAGTACTGTATAATCAAGAAGCAGTAAACACACATGTAATATGAGTAAGAGAAGACCCAGTGAATATAAGATTATTACTTCTCTCTGTCTCTCTAATGCCATCTATCTGCATGGTGCTGTATAGAGCAACATAGGCAAAATAAAAATAAAAATGGGTGGGTGGGATCTCTGCCCTAAGGAGGTTACAATAAATTTTAACAGCAGGGGAGATAACAAAGAGAGGGAAAGGATGGGAGGAAATGAGAAAGCAAGAGCTTTCCATATGATCTCATGCAGCAACTGTGAAGGTAGAAACTTAAGAATTAAGGTGTTATTTTACTCTGTTGTACTTTATATGGCTATGTAATATATAATATGACCCCACACCAATGGACCGTAACTCCAGTATAAGTTTAAATATAATAATTCAACAGCTGTGCCAATTGCCACCTGTTTCTTGCACAGCTGTGGGAGGCCAGATGTGAAAGTTAAATTCATAGTAATGTGAGATATTCACAACATATCCTTAGAAAGTGTCACTAGCAATCCAATCATTCCTTTTAGCCTTTGTTGTTGCATTTCCTCTTGCAATTTTCACATGCACTCTAAACACTGCAAACCCACTAATTCTGTCCGGCTAAGAAGGCTGTGTCGTTTACCGTAATCACTCCTAGCCCAGCATCTACATCTCAGCTTCTGAATCATGCCCTGACAACCTACAGGCGTGGGAGGCAACCTCCGTACCTACTATGGTGGAATACAAGAAAGCTGGTGGGAGGCTACAGCTGGTTGTTAGTGGCAGAAATGTCTGCTGGGAGGTTTAGGACTGGCTTTTTATAGACTTTTATAAAAGCTACTAACCTTAAAAGGCTTGACAGTTACTTTGGAGAACTTCATTAAGCTCCGCTTTGGACAGGCACTGAATGTTAAATACCACATTTTATTAGGGAGCAAAGCATTCACACCTCCTTAAATGTCTTTTTGAAATACTAAAAGGGGGAGTTTACTTCATGACCTGTCTATTTATAGTACACCTCTGCCACAAGCACTTCAGCTCCTAGTCTAGGAAAAGGTACCCTCTACAACAGGGGTGGGCGGACCACAGCCATGTCAGATTCACTAGGACCGTAAGATCTACCCAGAAGAGCCAGATGTAAAGGATGTATAGTCAGAATTAAACATCAGGTTGTCTCTAAGCACATTCTGAGCTGAAGAAATTGCTTTCGGTTCAAGAACTGAACAGAGGTCCCAGCCTTTCACACAAAAGTCTGCCTGCAGACGCCTAATTTAGGGGGGAAAGTCAATTTGTTGTTCCTGTTGATAAAGCAATTGGGAGTCAGGAACCCTGATCTACTGCAAAGCACCCAGAGATTTTGCAGTAGATCCTGATCTCCCTTCTGCCCACCACTGATCTACAACCACCAACCATCTCCAGTACACCATTGCCTAAACTTCAGTGCACTGTGCTCAAATTATAACCCGCGTACCACTGTGTACTCACTCTCCACTCCCACTACAAGTTGGTCTTCTGGCTCACATATGAGTGCCATGGGCTACATGCAGCCTTTGGCCAACTTCGGTGAGGTATGCAGGACCTCTTCCCACTGCTTAGCTCTAGGAACAGTGGAGTGGTGCTCCTATGGTAACACTCGCCAGCTGTTCCTATCACACCATGTGCTTTCTCCCTCTTGCTGTCCACCTGATTGGTGCTGGGAATAACTGAGGAGTGTTCTGATGGGATCTAGACACTCCCAATGACTTCTCTGAATGCAAGCCTTCAACACCCATTTCTTGCCCTCAATCAAATCAAATTCTTTCCTCTCTCACTTACATTTCTTAATTTTTCTCACTTCACTTCTGCTCCTTTATTCTGCAAGTCTAAAATTATTATTTTAATGCAAAACACATCCCAAGATATAGTTGACTGTGCAGGTACCATTATGTATAGGGCTGCATTGTGTTCTAAAAAACACTCCTTTCTTTCTCTTGCCTCTGCTTTAGTTCCCATCCTCCCCTCTGCATTCAGCCCTGGGACTAAAAGCTTTAATCTCTTCACTGTGTAGCGTCTGTTACACTCCTGCTTTCTGTAACTAGCACTCTGCAGTGTGTCTTGTATCATTTTCCTTTGCAAAGCATCATGTGTCTACAAAGGACACGATACAAAAATCAAATTGCATTATATTATACTAAGCACCGTTGAAGGCCTGCTGCTGCTAATGTTTACAAGTCACCCGTACACTATGGTTCACGGTTCTTGACAGTTATTTCCCTTACATCTGTATGTTATTTTAAAAATGCATTTGCTGCAGCATTTGCATCACAAACTGAGGTGCTTTGCCCCTCCCATAAAAATCCAGAGCTTTTACACACACACACACACACACACACACACACACACACACACACTTATTTATTTAGATACTGGGAACGTTTCTTATCTGACTTGAGTCAACAAAACC